GATGTTTGCTCCCAGAGAGACTTTCTCGGAGGTCCGTGCTCAGCTGTAACCCCACCCCACTTCTTCCATCCACCCCTACCCCTTTCTTGGAGAACCAGCGGAGCCATTAGTATGGGGGTAAGATCTGGATCAAATACACTTCAACTGGAGAGCAAGGAGAAAACAAACTCTTGGGGATTGGGAGAGGCTAGGGCTGCAGTCAATTTGGCTTTCAAATTCACTTGTCCACCTCCCGACCTTTGGACCCAAAAGTGCGCGTATTTCATTGAGAGAAAAGGAGAACATGAAATCGGGAGGAAATATTTTCCATTCCCGAAATGCTTATACCAACTTGGATAGCCAAGTGTCGTGGTTGGAAACTGGTTTAAATCAATACATGTACGAGCTTTATACATATGTGACCTCAAGTTTCAGTCTCACATGTGCTCCTTTCTTAAATACATGTACACGCTTGGACACAGCTTCTTCTGATACTGTTTGAAAGCATTCGGCTACCGCACGGTGCACTCTTGTTTTCAAATCCGCACTTCTAATGCAGTACTTTTGTGTCCAAAAAAGCGGAAAATAGCGTTAACAAGCTTAGAGGGTTTCAGTTCATATGTCCCCCTAACATCAAATAAATTTATTTCAACTTATAGCTGAACTTTTATTTTCAAAGTATCTGTTAAATGCATCTGTCATTTCGTATTCGGGGAAATAAACTTTGAAATGTTAATGGCAACAGAAGTGAAGTTTTTGCCTACTTTTTTTTTAGTTATATCGCGTTTTCAAACGATTTGAATTTCCTTTCGTTCTTTACGTTCTTCTATTTTAATGTCATCTAATTGTGATTTCTAAAACGGCTCGTTTCCTTGTAAAATTTGTCAAATTGTAAATAATGTTGGTGGACTTTTCTCGGTATATCGTGTTCATCTATTAACGGCCACAATTGCCTCTTTTTTTAACAAGTACTATTTTTTTCTATACCTTCAAGCAATATAGCCTAGGCCCAATTCAACCCTTTTCGATTACATGTCACAGACAATAAGGACCAGTGACAGAATCTTTGAAGAAACAGTAAAGTTGTACGAGTTCAATTTGAATCAGTTTTCATGCATCTCTTTCACATAGGCTTATTTATTGGAGAACTCAACCGATTATGCAGCTCGAAAAATGGGTGAATTTGAATTCTCTACAGAGGGGTATTTTGAATGGTGCACGACAGAAATGCGCAGTCGCAAGTTTAGTTTTTTCTTTGGGGGAGGGCAGCATTAATGGATTTAGCTGACGGAATGTTGATCTGAAATCAAATTTACTCGAAACTGTGCAATTTGCATGTGTTTGGCGCGCTTGAAGTTGAACATGAGATGGAGGCCTCGGTTGATGTCCTGTGTGATTGAATGCAATTTTTGTCAGACTAGTTTTTTTTCAGTCTTGCTGACCGACGAATGTTATACCAGAGCTTACGAATTCGTCGGATTTGAATTCAACTCAAAAAGAATAGATTTAGTTATGATTGGTTGGCTGACGTTTTCAAAAGCACTTTATATATTTTGGCATTGGTATCAATCGTGTTGACGATTGTCGCCACCAAACACGTAGACCATACTTGCTATTTCTTTTAACGAAGCCATTAAAAGTATATATGCAATAAATAATTCTGCAGGACAGTAAACCCCTGGATGTTCTTTTCAATTCACAATGTGCATGAATAAACAAGGAGTGTTCAGGGGTTTGATTTCAACAGGCGCCATGCATTATATTCAGAATCCACAGGTTTACAGAGAGGCTCAACATTAAACACAGTGCATTATGCTTTAGACAGCAGGCTGGTAATGTAGAAATGTGATTGGTTTTCGGCAAACTGATGTGATTTTAGATGAAGGTTGGTAGGAATCACGCCCTTGGAAAACTCCTTTCGCGGACTGTGTATGCATGGTTGGACAACGATTGAAATTAAGGCAGTCAATACCCTCAAGCAATAACCCCAAGACAAGTGAGAACAGGGGGGTCGAAGGCTTCTTATAGCAAGAAACCACTTCACTAGAAATCTTTTCAGTAATGTAGGTTTCGCTGTTTAATTTAATATTAATAATAAGCATATTATATGGAAAGATTCGTCAAGTTTGTAGTAAAATAATTACATTTGGATTCGACAGCAAATTTTCAGACCTTTATTTTGTTACCATTTACTTAATGATTACGGCACTCTTATACTATTTCCTGGCAGTTTTGTCTTTTGTGATAAATGTTTTCAGTCAACTTCTCCAGTGAAAAGTGGAAGCGTTAATGTCTGAAATGCACGAGCTACTTTTTGACTTAATTTGATTGAAAAGTTCTGTTTTATTCAGCAAAGGAAAGGGTAGTCTGAAATGGTAGTTGCGTTCTATCAAAAGAAACGTGGGTATCATGCAGGAACATTTCAACAGAACATAACAGTTTGATCTTTTTAGTGAAAATTAGGACTTTGAGGATTTCTTTGTATAATCCTTATGGGGTCTCTCAGGTTTTAAACTCAATTTGGGGCCAAAAGGTAAAACAGAAAGCCCCCGAAAATATTCCCTTTCTCGTTAGATTTTAATGGGGGGGCGTGGCTCAGTTCGTCCTTTCCATGGATCCGCCAATGAACAAGCGATTAGTTTTTCATTTTTAGACACGCCTGTGCACCACAAATGTCATTCCTTATAGATTGAGGGACTCTTTCCCACAGCAGGATTTTATCGATGTTAAATGAAAGAACTAATTCCAAATCATTCGTACGTTTTCTATGAGGCCGGCTGGAAGGCGTCACATGAGTCACAAAACGGCAACCTTTGCGCTGCATCACTATTTTGGAGATTTCTCTCGACTACTCAGAAGTCTGACTAACTCAATGGCGTTATCTTTACCGTAGTCGCTGTCATCTTCAACCTCCTCAATGGTGTTTACCGTCTCTCGAGGCGTATCGTCGAGGGGAGACTACTGGGGCCAGGAGGGCTCAGTGTTGAGACTTTGCAAGCAGTCGGATTCCCACTCATACCAAATGATCCCCACCGTATCTTCACCCCAATGACGCCGGTTTTTAAAGTTTACAATAATATTTTATACGATAAGACAGAAAGTGACCCTTGAATTATACCAGAGCACCAGTGAATACTTTATAAACTGCTTCACATTCGGAGCTTTTGTTGTGTAGTGGTTGACAAACTATGGATGTCGCTTATGGCAAAACAAAAGGCTATTCAGTGCCTCCATGGAAGTATAAGGTAGGACTAGGAACTTACTAATGATTGTTACTCGAAATATATTCATGTTTATCGCTGTGATGAAAATTTAGCGTACATGAAAAAAGATGGAAATTCACTAAAAAATATCACTATGAAGTATAGAAATAATCAATTCATTGGAATATGGCAGGTGACGGACACAATTCGCACCGAAACAAAAAAACTTATTAACAACATACTATACATTTTCAAGACTACAGAAAAATCAGGTGGGGATTATTGAGGTAAAGGGGGCTGGTAAAGGGGGATTGGACAGGGCAAGGGGAGATAAGAAACAACAGCTGGCCATATGCAAATTTATAGCATGAAAATAAGCGCGACTTGAGCTAAAAAGGACGTTTTCTGAGCACTTCTTGTCGCCTAATTTGTGTATTGTGACAGGTGTCCATTCAATGTGATGGTGCCGACAGCAAGGAGCATTCCGTGCACGAGCACCCCCTCCCACACCACGCAAAGAGAAGTTGTGGGCTGGCTTTATGCGTCTTTGCTATTTGAACTGTAAGCTAAGGTTGATGCTATTCGATGGCGTTGACTTTGTGAGTTCAGGCATTTTTTTCTCTGATCCTGCGTCGTGTCTTTGTGCAAAATGAGTATTGTCTGTATTTTAGTGTGTGTATTCGAGTCCTACCTTTGAACGAAATCGATTCGATCTATTTCTTTTCGAATCGCAGCTTTCAGAACTATCTTCTGTAACAAAGCCAAGGAGTCATTCAGCACATAACCGGCGTATATACGCACGTTACTGTACTCGTTTCCAATGAAGTCACTGCTTTCTAATTCCATCCTTTCCTTAATCAGTTACGTTAAACATTCAGAGATGGAACCAAAATATTTTATTGACTTAGGTCCTCAGAGAAATCAAAAACATTTTAATCACAAGGTAAATCTTTACTCGCCGACGGGCCTCTTACGATTCTCACGATTCGCATCGTAATAAAATTTATTATGTCGTCTACCTTACATTTTATTAAAATCGATTATTATACAGATTATCCTGACCAGAGAATACCTATTTGAGAGTAAAAGTTTTATCAAATTCCTGAATTTCATCCTCGGCGTTTTATTGATATTAATAATAGGTGAAAATTAATGGGCGGCCAGCTAGTTCCTCTGTCACATTGGTCAAACTGGGTAAGGTTTTACTAGAGTCAGAAGTCATCAGTATTCTCGTCTGGTGTCGCGAGGGGAGATCTGTTTTTCCAGACGGCAAACACAACCTCTGGAGGGTGCTCAGCCCCCCGCCACGGTCGCTGCCTCCCCGTGTTCTTGCCCACTCTGCTCACTCCATTGAGTGGCTCCGATGAACCCGGCGCACATCCAACAACCCACTGGGTCGGCATCTCGAGCCTCCAAGCCCCGCGCCGACAGAGCGGCCAGTACCACTGCCTACAAACTTGGCCCGTATGATTGCTTGGCACACGGACACGGCCGTGCTCACCAGGCAGGGCGCGTGCCGTGAATCACAAATCGCCAGATTTCATAAGATTGGCATTTTTAATATTTTAAAACGATTCAAACCCCATAGATGTTCTTTTAAAATTAAGCGTGATCTCATCTTTATCGACTAGTAAGGCATCGAATAACGTGGAAGGTAACAGTTGTATTTTTTTTCAAATAGCTCTGTCTAGTTCGTTATTTTCCAGCACCTTGAAGAGCTGTCTTCTAGTGTGGTTGGTGTCACGTGGTCCTCTGACGTAGGGAAATTTGCAGTGATTTTCTGTGTGGTTTCTCTTACGTTGTCGGCTAGCCACAGCGGCATTTACGTAGCTACCCTCGCTCACAAATCGCGCGTGGGGAAGGATATAAAACTCTGGCAAGCTTGGTGCAGGTCAAGCATTTGGATTCGAACAGCAGCATTTCCAGCTTAACCCTTGCACGGGAATCGGGTGATACTTTTATAACTGGTTCACTTCAGAGGTGTCCGCGAGGCTCTTCCATCAACACACATCGCCAGTTGGCACCGACAGCGCTTCAGAGCTCCAAAAACCCATCACACACAAGTACCAAGGTAAGTTAGTCTGTTCGTACCTACAAGCATTTCGCTAATTGCGAAAATAGACCTAGCAGATTCTGGTGAGATGCTAAAGTCACCGGGGAATTCGACGTTTGTTTGGTGTGAACGAAAACATTTTTTTCTGCCTGTGCGAAGGTACTTGCAGATTAGTCAAAACTGAGGTTATCTTTTTTTTAATTCCGCCTTTTTTGACATGAGATGAGAAAGTTAGGATGTCTCCTTTCTTGGTTTTACTCGGTCGTAGAACGTTGAGTAACGTATGGTTTTGCTGAAGAGTGAAGTTTCAGGGGCTCATAAGTGCTTATACGGAGCAGTCATACATCAAAGATTGCAGCCAACCTGTGAGGTAGCATTCACTTGTTTCCAAAGTTTGCTGGAATGTTCGCTGAATTAAATTCTTTGGGCAAAGGGTGAAAGTCTCTTCAAACGCGCTGCGTTTGTTTATGCCAACTGAAATACACTTATTAAAAATGTCACCTTCCGACCTAGCTTGTTGTAATGTCCAGAGCTCTGTAGCTATGTGAAGAGTAAAATGGCTGTATTTTTCTACCGTTTGCTCTTATACCCTTGCTTGTATTATCCAGTCAAATTCAGGCCAAGTAAAACCGAGATTCTGCAAGACGACTTACTTTAATACAGAGCGCGTAGACAAAATCGTGCTGAATTATCTTTTGTCGGAAAGTACTGCTTACAATAAATCTAGTACCGCCAGCTAAGATTCGACATCGATGCGGCCGATCAATGTTTAGGGCTTTTAAATGGTCAAACAATCTTGCCGGGGGAAATGTGACAATTTCTTTGGTGGAATGCCCCTCTCGCACGCGTTGTGTCGTCGTACACAAGCGTAAAGACACTTCAGTTTGCAACATGGATTGTTGCTTCATCATGGCATTCAAACTCATTTTCGCCCAATTAAGTTGAATATAAAAGTTGAGGTTTGCTCAACCATTTGACCCGCTAGCGCAGGTGTTGTCGAAACAACTCTTTGATTGGGAAAACACTAGCGGCTACAGAACTTAATACTCATGAAGAATACAATTTATGTTCATACTAAAAAGAGGAATGCATGTCTGAAGGAACGTGACGCCGAACGATTTTTGTTACTTTCTCGTAATGATTTAGAAACCCGATCGAGTACTACAAACATGATACTTCATAAAGCATTTTTAAAAGAATTTGAAAATCAAAATGTGACCCCCGTACCAACTAATGACAAGAGGGCTAGCTTTTTGTGCAATGGGCATAACAAGAAACTGGTATGAAGTTAATTCAAAATGGTCAGTTAAACTGTCGCATTTATTACACGAACCTGTAATTCTACTCAGGCTAATTCCAGTAACTTGCATGGAATTACCTCAAGTTTTAGTGTATTCTGGTAGAATTGAACAAGGGTAGGAGAAGAATATAGGCCTAATTGTTCCAAATGTTAAACTGCAGTTACATAGTAGTACTTCGTAGTGATCCTATGTCCTATTGCTGTCGTCTGTTTCCTCGATCCTTTATTTATCCCTAACAGTCTTTAATCTTTCAGTTTCAATATGATTTTACAGGGGGGGTAGGGTTGATACAAAGTGTCCGGAACAACCGTTGGCGAAGTTGGCACATATCCGTGCGCGTCAGTCAGCCTTAACACCATTCGGTTTGTGATGAAGCAAAAATATCGAATTTCAGAATCGTCAGTGCTCTACATTTTAGAAACTTTTGCAGACGTGGTAGACACATATACCACGCCTGCCCCTTTATAGTTAAATGGGGAGCCTAGCGGAGGCCCTATGGTTTTCGTGTGCCCGTTTCTTGGGTATAAATTTAACAAACGTGGTTTGATTCGCTGAAGGTTTAACAAATATTGTAAAGGTTTTCATAATATGGACATTGCTGCGAGTTACAAGTTTTATTTTTAATTTAAGGAATGACGAGCCGCGTAAAATAGGCCGCGCGAAGCAGGTCGGTGCAACCTGATCCTGGTAAACCATCAGTCTTCGCGCATCGTCAAGTGTTTATGTACCCTAATCTTCCATTTACATCCATGTTGTATCAGACAGTACCGTCAGACACACGAGAGGTTTTCTTCTCTTCCGCCCCAAATCAATGACACTTGACACCACGAAAAGACAGGCTTTCGTACCGCCCTTACGGCACTTGTAATCGAATTACAACTTTCTGAGTTCAAGGGCACATTATAGGCCGTATCACGTGACCATCTTGACTATTGCAATTGTTATGATTTATCAACGAGGCGCTTCGTCCAAAGTTTTGCCTGGTGACGGTAGATTGTAAAGATGCCTTCCAGTTCCAACACGCATTAAGCTGAGGGAAACAGATTTATTGCATAATTCTCTGCAGTAACTGGTATTGTGAATAAATCCACTGATTTCCTTAGTATGCACCACCCATGACAGCTACTCTCCTTCCAGTGTGATGTTTTCCCAAAATTAATCATTAGCCTTACGGTTTATGCCTCTGTGAGTTTCTTTGCGCAAGCAAGAATCATTTTGCCGGATTTGATGAATTGGTATACACCCTGGTATCTCATACCGTAAATAAAAGTGTTCTCTGGCGAGGGTTTAACGTTCGGTCGTCTGACCTCACGGTTGCATCCGAGGAAAAGTGATTTCGAAGTAATTTCCTTTGCCAGCTGCTGCTGACAAGCCCATACTGTAAGAATCACTCTCGCAATGCGCGGGTAAATGTACCTGTCAGCTCGCGGGGTTTACCAACCACGAACATAAACCGCGAGACAGCGCGTGCCACCCGACCAAAGAGGTAAGACGACCGCCCTTTGCCCGCATTCCTTTCAAGGGAGCGTTAGTACCCACAAATGAAGATTGGACGTTAATGGGTTGCGACTTGCGGGAGACGGGTCGCTTCGTCTAGCCCGGCTGAGCCGATGAGATGGAGGCGGGAATGTATTCTGGGAATAGATAGGAAAAGTTGCAAGCCCTCCAGTACATTAACTCGAAATCTGACCGTATTTTCTAATTGAAGAAAATGTGGTGGACTGGTGTCGTGTGTCAGACTTCTTGGGATGGAAGGGTTTTTAGTAGGGATGACGGTGACGATGAATGACAGTAACAACGACAGTGACACACATTTACAGGAAAAAAATGATGCAACTTGACATGTGTTATGATGAAATGGCGGCTTAGATTATCCGAACCCGTTATTAACCCATGCCTCTGAAGAGGCTATGACGTAAGGTCTCAGACATTTTTGAACTTGAAAAATAAACGAGCGGTCATAATGGATCTGGAGCAGACGGGCTCTTTAGATCGGTATAAACAACAGCAGCGCTTTGAGTAGGACCCCATAGTAACAAACTGTCATTAAAAGTTGAAACTTTGCCATCTCAAAATGTTTGATTGTTTCCTCCCTGTTTTGCAGATGCATTCGTCAACGGCGGTTACCCTGGCAACATGTCTGATCATAGCCACAATAGTCACACAGTCAGGTGAGTCTACCAATGATCCTCACACATTCAGTGCTGTATGTCTCTTTTCTAACACTGGTAAATAAAACAAACAAAAAACCTACTAAAACCCCTCAAAGCAAACGGATACTTAATGAGTTTGTGATTGGAAGCTTCATCGTTGGAGCCCTCATTCCTAAGAGATACACAAACGGGTTTAAGTGCGTCTTACCTGGAGACAAACGTACCAAGACCGCAACTGACGCAGTCGCATAGTCGTGCAAAGCTCCCGCAAGGCGGTAGCTCTCTGATGTATCGCTAATGAGCGCGGTGTATAACGCAATCAGGAAAGATTCTGTATATGTGCTCTACGTTTATGTTTCGCAATTGAAGACAGTCAGTGTGAGGGTATCTCAAAGAGTTAACCGGAGTGGCAGAAATACCTCACTTGAATCCCTTCAGTTATGGATGACTGTGCACCTGCGATATGAAAAAAATCTACAAACCTTCCTCTTTCTAAACTGGCATAATTCGGTGGTTAGCATAAGCTGTCTACATGGACTGTCACTGTGGACTGTATACGTTGAAACGAAAATACTGTATTGACAGTGTTGGTGCCAAAATGGACAGATCGGCCAATCGTATGAATGCTTTTCGGCATTAGGTGGCAATTTTTACTTTAAACACATTTTTCTTGTCATGATTTCTTATTTGTCACGAAACAGCATCGGTTTTTTTTGGTTCGCTGATGCTTTTACGTATACTGTAAACACCCACTCCCAAGGCAGGGCACTTTTTTCTCATCACGATTTGAGGTGTCAAGTTACATCACGATCCAATGATAGAAACACCGCCCACAGGCCAACCCCGAAAAAGTACACCATGTAGCCAATCAAGGAAAATGTACTATAGGTTAGTTTTTTGTTTCATTTATTTCTCAGGATTTCCCTATTTGTCATCAATACGGGCGATTCATAATAGTGCGCCACCAAGAGTTTGCAACGCCTTGGCCAATCACAACGTGCGAAATCTGTCGACCCTTTCTAAACGCGCATTCGGTCGACAGATTTCGAGCATTGTGATTGGCCAACGCGTTGCAAACTTTTGGTGGCGCCCTATTGGGAAACGCCCGTATTTAACATGATAAAGTCTTTTAACAAATAAATTTGAGTAAAGAATCTCGAAGGAGAATAAAAGATAGTGACGTCTGGGGGGAATTCTCAGAAGGATTCGGTACTGTTGTTACTTACTTTGGGATTTTGCTATGCTTCTTCCATTAACTTACTTTGAATAACTGCTGATGTACGGGGATAGGGGCGAATAGATTGGTTCAAACGTATTGTTGGTAATGTGCGTCATGCAATCGTGCACGTCTTATGTGCCCGAATGCTTATCGTTTCGTACAATCGGTAAACCCGTAAAGACGAGTGACGTCAGTGAGTTGTTTGTTTCAGATTAGCGAGGTTATTTGCTGATAGATTATTTCAGAACTTTGTTCCCGAATGCATGGAATCGCGCACAGGCTGGGTGAAAGTGTCTGGAACTTATCGCTATCGACACTCTTGGTGGGAAAATTCTTGTCTTTTTCAGTATTTTGGCATATTTCCAGTTAACTCTATTTTGTGGAAAAGTGTTAACTTCCTTGTCAAGCAGACTCTGTTTTTCTTTTCCTTCTCTGTTTTTCTAAATGAACTCAGTACCCTTTATGTCTTCCTGTAGGAAAGGTTATGGTCGAGAAGAGGCCAACCGTTCCCAATGAACTCTTCCAACTTAATTTGAGGATTTCGAGTGACATTCACTTTATCAACGAGATCAGTTTTCCACTGGAGTAGTTTCCTTTTCATACTCTTTCAATCGAACATTATAGACAGGACCATCTGGTCTTTATAATGGTCACCTTTTCACATGAGAGTGAGATAATAATTTTTATAATTATACATAATTGTTATATTACAATAAAATTCCTAGAATTATAAGTTGACCTCATCCGAAGACGAGAAAAAGTGCAAATTTTATGCACGAAATCGACGAAATCGACGTTTTCAAAACGTGATATCACTCTCTTGGTGCCTGAGACGGGAAGATGGCCGTCAAATGTCAGGCGATCGTGGGTTTTTGGCGGGAAAGTGTTCCGACACAAAGCACAACACCTTGGCACTCCCAGGCAGGTGCGTGCTCCAATTGGCTTTTGACGGCACGATGGGAGCCTCTCGAAGAAGCGGGTTAGATTTCAAAAGTCGGTATCGCTACGGATACTGAAGACTTGTTGCACTGCTGGAGAACATGTTTCGCCTGGTGCGTTGGGCACGCCCCGGGATTCGGAATAAGGGTACCCGAGATCTTACCCACGCTCTATCTGCTTGAAGTGACAGGCGGATGTCTAGGACTTGGAGAACGGAAACCGGATTGGGTCGTTCATTAAGTTCGTTCACACCAAATCTGATCGATGAGACGAAAAGACCCCCTCTTGGAGGATCTAGAGCAGTGAGCGAAAAGTCAAGAAAGAATCTCCTCGAGATCAGATATCTTACATCACCAGCATCCAAGCCTTCTTTTTTCGTTCGTGGGGCGAACACGCGCCAACCCAGCTGATTCAGCGCATAAGGTCTACGTCACACATTGTACATGTATTTCTGATTTTTTGGTCGAGCAAAAACAAGCCGGTGGAGGGAATACAAACCTACGAGACTGTGAACACAGCATTAGCTGTCAACTTACTAAATATTAGTTATAAAAGTTTGCCATGTGTTCTTTTCAGAGTTAAAACGGCAATACATTAGCGTTCGTTTTATTTCTTTCATTGGGATTTGCAGGTATCTTTATGTTGACTAGTTCAACCTGAAACATCAGTCAGGAGTGTCATCAAGTGAAATCGGACCCATGATTCACTGAATTCAACATACCTTGTTAGTCTTTAGTTATAGAGATAGCAGCATGCGTGTTTTCAAGTATAGGATGTCAAGTTTGCAGGTGTTTTTTGACGATGAACAGCATTATTTGGCAAAAGACAAGAACAAATAATCGTAGAACACCATGGCAACATATTCTGCGGGAAATCCTTGCAAACAGGTTTACCGGAACCGTATTGTATTGAAAAGAAAATAGCGAACGGTGCGTCCGAAACGCAAGGTCAAGCATTTTATTTCCCGTGTGAGTGGCAACACGAATCTCAGTAGCGGCCACAGATCGCCAGGGCCAGCGTTAATTCATCGTGCACTGTTTCAGACCACCCTGCCAAGTGTCGCTCAGCGGAAGCATCTCGGAAATCCGACTGAGCCTCTTAAAGAACTTCGTGGAGTGATGTGGATGGGCTTGAGCTTTGGACTTTCAGCGATCAGGCTTTCGAAGTCTGGAAGGTCTGATCCGGGTCAGATTGTGACGAAAAGGTTCCCTTCATATGGTCTGTGTTTGGGGGTGTAACAGAAGGATCATGGGGGATGTGTATTTTTACCTCTGGGACTATCCACGAATCTGTTGTTCCATTCTCATGGCCCCATTTTTTTTACAACTTTGAGATTCTAAAAACCATCGCTTATTTATTTTCCGAAAATTAACCTTTACATTTGTAGTTTCTTTACAGGCGTCTGGTATTGGAATAATTCTGAAGACATAAGTCTCTCTAAGTTGTCTATTCCTTTCAAATTTGTGAACCAGACTATTGGAGGAGTGCACTGGCCAAGTCCATCTTAAGCTTCAGCAATAAATTTGCTCTGACGCCGGTTGATTTAGCGGAGAATTCCTTGAATCGAATAGATTCGGTTTCCACCGTTGTGATTCCCCTTCAGGTTTCAAAATAATTTTGGAGCAATTGTCACTCTATAAACATCCAGAGAAATTCCCAGCGTTCGAAATGATAAAGTTTAACTTATTTCAAGTAAGCTGCCCTCTTCTGAATTTGCTTCAGTACTGTGTGGACACGTTGAGTACACGTACGTGCGCTTTAGAAGACACAGTACATTATTTATTTGAAAGAAGATGGAGTCGCACGCTGTCGAATCGCCGTGTTCACGTGACGGCAATTTTTCTTTACATCTTTCCGCTGGGAAAGGGTTAAAGTGGCCCGTAAGCCGGGGAATCCAAGCCATTAGAGCGAGAAGTGTTATTACGAGTGGCGATAAGTCACGCCATGCTGGCGATGTTACGCAGTTTCAGTAATCAAAATCACCGAGATGTGACAAGGCCCCCTGGGAATCTAAAAGTAAAGCTTAATAGAAAGCCTAATGTACGTGGTTCCTGCCCGTGAGTTTAATACAACTTGATGTCGTGGAGGAACCAGAGGGTTCAACGATTTGACGCATGCTTAATTAATTATGCCGATGATATATTCTAATGATACACGAATGGAGGAATCAGATATATCGAAAACATTAAGGGGGTTCTCAGTGTCTCATGAACGCCTTGTTCAGTACACGATAGTCAATCACTGAACACAATCCTTATGAACAGGATAGCATCTCATAATCATAATTTTGCCCCAAACTCCATAAACTGTTGAGTGTTTACCTAAAGTGCACAGCAGGAGTTGTCTCAATTGTCCGAAACAGCACGGGACATTTCTATGTCATAAAAAGGCTGCACTTAAAAATAAACCCCAAAGAAATGTTTCGCTTGTAGGAGAAATGGATTTTTACTTGATGATATCATTCTGTACACAATTTTCACTCCTTAGGTGCAGCATCGATTTTTTTAATATCTCAGTCTGCTTATTGTGCGAGGACAATTAGCTCATGAAAGAAATCAGAAGCTAGCAGCTGGAGCCAAAAAAAGAAGAAGATGATGAAGTCTTGTCAACAAATGGATTCCGATCAAAATTTTCAACCCGATGCATACGTTGCATTGAATGTTGAAATCGGATGTTACCGAGATAATTATGCAAGCTTCCACCGGGCTAGGCGACGATCAAGTACGGTCTTGCAGGTTCGCTGAACTTGGAGAGGGAGAAATATACGTTACACTCCATGTCAATTGCAATAAAATGCACCAATTCTAATGCACAGTTTCCGTTCCGCAGCTAGAACAAGACCACTTAGGCAATTGTCTCTCTCTTTTCCGTTCAGAAGTTCCTTTTTTGCATGCGTAATATAGTGTGTGCCCAAAGCGCACGACCATTTATTGAAAAACAATATCAGGAGCGAAGAAAGCTGTTAAGTCCCCCCCCCCACACACACACACCGCAATTTACCGCAATAGCAAGTAGTGCTTTTGGTCTGGTTATGGGCAAAGTCTACGTAGAGCTTACCCGCAAACGAGAGGGATTTCACCACGATATGCCACAGAATAATTTGCATCTATAAGCATGACGATGTTTCTAGGGTCGCGCGATGGGCCCGACAAACGCATTTTGAGGCAATGTTTCTAGCCCTCTGGCAGACGACGGCTCATCCAGCGGCCAGATGTCGAATCCATTAACTGCAGCGAGGCAGTACCACGTTCTTGCTAAGATCTCTTGCCTTCTGCAAGCTTGAAGCACAAGCGGAGTTTTCCAAAGCACATTGGTAGGAGAATCACTGAGCGTGCGCACATGCAACCGCATTCGAAAGTTGCGGCATCGGCTTGAAATATAAAGGGATTCCACTTCTTTCCAGTAGTTCTGTTATACCACTGCTTAGTACCAGCTGCAGGGGGTGTGTAACTGTTTCGCTCTATCGCCTGACGATTCTCAGTTCGAACTAAGGTCAGGTGGCAACCAATTTTGCTTGACCAATAGGCGCAAATTTCCTACGTTTCAGCGGTGTATAAGTTTCGAATACTCTGTCACAAGTTGAATATATGTGCACTTGCAAATGACAAACACACTTAAGATGTTCCTTTGCAGGCTTTCGATCTAAATTCTTTTATTAATTAGCTTCAGTCCGTGACTTAAATGTAAATATCATGTATTTATTGCATATCTTATAAAAAGTATGAAATTACATGTGTCCCTAGCTATAGGCCCAGATACATGAATGACATTCGCCCTTTGTTCTTCCTAATGATCCATCTTTTAATTAGAAGAAAAAAATTAGTGCATAATGAGCTTTGCCTTTCACTCTTCTATAAATGACGGCCAAACTTCTTATTTGTTTGTCGTTTTCCACAGCCACTGCTCTAGCCTTCCAAGGTTCTCAAGACAGAGCGAAAAGATGTAAGTATATATGCGTGTAAGTGTGTGTGGGCGGACCCTCTCCTTTCTCGCATAAAATACTTCTAAGCAGCGTCATTTGTCCGCAATTTCCCCGGGCACGTGTCATGCCGAGGAAGCATTAGGACCAGTTCTTCCTTCTTGAACTCTAAGAAGCTCTGCCTGCTAGACATTGTCCTTTTTTTTAATTTCTGCAGCTGGAGCGTACGTTGTCCCCATTAGGTGCTTGCAGGCAAGAATATGGATTGATGGAGTAGGGAACATCATTGCCGCTGATAGTCCGCGCTTTTATTGGTAGTTACACTGTTCTGCGGCATTATAGTGCATTACGTTAGAATACTTCATCAGTTATCTACAGGAGATAACGTGGGTCGAACGCAGACTTTCGGCGCAAACACAATCTACGCTGTAACTTGAACCTCAGCGGCCTATTCCTTAATCCCTGATCGTTAGTTTTACTCATACTGCTTTGTAAAGAATTAAGGTCATTCGAAAATCATTTCATCCACACGGTATACAGTGGACTGACTAATGAATCAAAGAGAAAAATAGAAAGGTTCTGAAATGAAACCCCCTGGACGTTTCTCAGCCTTTCTCAGAAATTATTCTGCATGGCAACTCCAAACTGCAGATCATGGAGCAACTTCCTACGGCCATTTAGGTGGTAAAAAGTCGTTTAATAGGGTTCTAGACCCCAAAAGTTTATATTGTGTGTTTGTTGATTTTTAAGTTAACGGATTTATCATGTTCGTAGACACCAACCCCTATTTCCACATATGATTTTGGAAACTTGGAATTGTCACCTAACTGCTAACTGTATCCTATGTTCTTGTGCCAGATTTCCAAGTTCTGAGATAGACCTATGCAAGGTTTTGGGCAAAATTGTGGCATATTCAAGACCCTTGTAAGACACGATAGACTAATGTCCCTTTGTGAATAATAAGTCATCATAGTTATAAGAATAAATAAAATATACCGAGCCAACCACTGCAAGTGCTTTTAAAGCTTACAGCTCACTTCGAAAATCAGTCAAACTGGTGTAGTTATAAATGTTTTTATTTTTATTTATTATTATTTTTGTAATTTTTTTTCGAGCGATTAATTTTGTTGATATCATACACTGTATTTTCATAGTTACATGTTGGGTTCTGTTTTTGACAGTGTTCTGGGTGGACAAGAAGAGTGCAAATGGAGGTAGGTACTTCGTACTTAGAGTTTTACCCGCTGCGGTAGACAAAAGCATTAGACCTTGTCACTTTTTATCAAACCTTCCACTTTTTTCTACAAACGCCAACGCAAGTCGTGAACATTGCAGTTTATCGGCCTGTGAAATGCAAGAAAAACAGACGTATTGATTGAATCGATTTCAGTATATCACGTTTTATTCAGCAAACTATACCCCCAGGAACGAAATTTATTTGCTGAATGCAGTAAATTATTCTACTGTTGGCACTCAGACTGGATTCTCTTGGCAATCGGCGTTGAAATAGGCCCAGTAAAACACAGGACAACCATAGTAACGCACCCTGTGCTTTTCTTGAGATGCCTCCGCGGTAAAGCATACCAGTGTACTATGAAGATTTTTTTATTTACAAAGTACAAGCATCTGATGCTCGATGCTACAGGTAGAAAATACCGGCTTTGTTTTGTATGCACTATCCAATACATTATGGAAAAAATCATGGAAAATAACTTTAAAGGCATTTAAGTCTTTCTCCTCTGTGATAAAATACATTCAGCAGAGTATTAGTAAAGAAAATCTACTACTCTACACCCCGCACACAAGGTCGACCGGAAACTTCGTCTCAGTGTGCACTTTGAGTGAAGACTAAACTTCATGGAAGCTTTTTTTTTTGGTTAATTCAGACGTGGACGCGAATATTCATGTTTTAATTTTTTTGTATCATGTGCCAGTGGCACATTTTGCTGACTGCCACAACCGGAAAAAAGGTAATGGAAGCTCGGGGTCTTCAACAGCTTTGTGTTAAATGCATCTGAAAATGGATGACATGCATTGAAGAAAATTCCTAAATTTCTAAGTTTCGCTTTATAAACCACTGATGGCAAGTTGAATCTGCAGACGAGTCTACATATTGAAGAAAAGACGCGATGGATATCCCCTGCCGTAATAACTTATGCAATGAATTGCGTTAGTATCATTCACCGCTCTCTGGGGAAACCCGATACGGTTGAAACACGAGACAGAATTGTCAAATTATCTCATTTTTGCAAGCCAGTCCTCCCTCCTGATTTCATTAGCAGGAAGCCCCCTGACCCGCCACGGGTGTATTCCGTTGCACACTCGCGTACTCGGGTGAGAGTACAGTTTGAGAAACGCGACCGTGAGTATAATATTGGTCCAAGATTCGGAGAAATTGTCCAAGCGAAGCCCCTTTTCAGCGCCGCAGTAGCGTCTGAGGCCACTGACGTGATCCTTCACTTCCAATATGCACGAAGTTTATATCCGTTACTAAAATTCGTAATGTATTGGGTGGTTCATTCTTATAGTCACCCCACTATTACTTTAGCGAAAATGCCAAGAATCTCAACGTGTCATTCACATTTCTTGTCATTTTTGCCGTGCATACGAAATATTCAATAAACATGTGGGCGATTGGACAAGGAGTCTTCGGAGACGGATGAAGGTGCATGGCAGTCGTGTAATGCCTACGCTGCAAATCCAATTTGAGTCGAGTTCGTTCGCCGCGAAGAATATAGTACTTGGACTTCTGTGTCTTTCAAGCCCCCGCCCCCCGTCTAGATTTCACCCGCTTTGTAAATCTACATCACTATCGCTGCCACAGCAGTAATTTTTACAGCTGGTTTGGAAAGATCTGTGGGTTTTATCTTACCAACCCCGAGATAGATTTCAGGGGGTCCTTCCAGGTGGGTACCGTACGGCATCAAAAAGATGCGTAATCCCTATCTCGTTTTCATTGTAAGCCCTTTCTCTCTCTCTCTCTTTGTGTTTAAACAGATAGCACAGTTTGCGTCAGAGCTTCTGCGGCAGACGATATAGCCGGTAGGTTTGCTAACCAGATATTTCGATATTCTTTTGAGTGCGTAGTAATGCCAAGAGCAAGTAAGACTTAAACATTTAGCCGTGATGTCCACGATGCAGAATACATATTGCTTCTGCGTTGTTTCAACCAGGTCTAAAAACCGAAGTGTCAGCAAATATAAGGACAGCCAATTTTGCACTTCCCTGATATATCGTCACATTCCATTAAGCTGGTAAATAAATGACTCTACGCTCACTTTAAATTACGGTGAGCTTGGGCTTATTGGGTGTTAATATTGCAAAACTGACACAATCATCGAAAAAAATCCTGGAGTGTAAGCGGAACTTCTGATATAAGAACAGAAAATGGCTGAACATAAGCTTACATAAGTCTGTCTATCATTTTTCTTGTGACGAACCCCTGTAGCCACTTTTATCCCAAAATGTACTGCATCTTTCGGGCGATGGAGATGCAGTGAGCCTGCACGCAGTTCACCTGTCTTCACCCAAGCGCGGGGTGACAGAACTTTTCGAACCCCATCCATCTCGACTCTTACACAGACATTGCCCTCCCCTGGCTTCGTCGTGAGTAAACTGACTTCGCGTCTCGAGTCGAGATGACAAAGAAAATATTGCGTAGCATTTTGTACAACCTTTTCCGAAGGAAAAAAGCCGATCTCGCCCGCCATGTCCACACATTGTGCGACGCTTTCAGAAGTGGAGACTCGGGCCTGTCTCGTACAGCGAAAATAACGATTTGAAAAGTTGGGACTCTTCAGTTCCTTGTCATTAGTATGGCGATCGCGACCGGACGCTGCGGTCTTCCTCCTTGACGCTATGCTCTGACCATGCAACCATAACAGGGGCCCGCTACTCCGGCTCATCCTTAAAGACAACATCCCTGCTCTGCTGTTGGTGGACGCGGGGGTGCTTGGAGAGCGTTTAAATGGACCGGAACGAGCTATGTGAACCTCTCTTGATTTGTCTCTGTGCAGTGCAGCGGGTCACGGGGCAAGTTCGGCCGGTGGCCGGTCAGGCACTATACTTGACCGTGTCAAATAGGAGGGACGTCTCGCAAACTGTACAATCCGGCCGCCACGAGCATGCATGCTGTTTAATCTAACCTAAACTTAATGGGTATTTCTGAATCAATGCCCAGTGAACTCGATTGTACAGAAAAAATCAATCACTGTTTGTCTCTTAACGCTACTGTTTCAAGCATCACATTAGAAAGGGCCCGTGACATCAAAAAAGCCATAAATAAAGTGACTCACACGGCTTCATCTAGTATGATGAGTATTGTAAAGTCTTTATACAGCGCGCTAAAATCCCGCTTAGATTGAAAACTAATAGCAAAAACGATTTAATTGGAAAAATGAACAAAGCCAGAATATACCTGAGAGAAAAATGATAAAAATCGTACCCCTGTACATATTCAATGGCCCATGCTGCCAAGGCCATTTGTGGGCATGCGTGAATATGAATTTATTAGTGAAAATGTCTATTCGAAGTGTGAAGAAAATAAGAAAGCGAGCGACGCATAATCAAGCATCATGCAATTAATAGAGATCTACTCCAAACAAATTCATTCAACACAAAGTACGGACGAAAGCTTCTTATGTAACCCTTTCTTAACATGTTCCTCCTAGAATGCTTCATCAGCGAATGCATTAAGAGACAGCTGGACTGCGAGATGATCTGTGACAGGCAAGATTGCCATTCGCTCTGCCAGACCAAAAAGCTCGGCTGCGCCAAGGCCTGCCTAACGGAGAACTCGGCCAATAACGTCCTGAGCCAATGAAAGAAAGCCGCCTCTACCCCTCCCAACAAACGAACTGGCTACATGTGTACGTTTGACCATTAGAATCGCTTGACCCAACCTTTTTAAATGTTTGACGCGACAGTTTTGGACGCAGGGTGAGAGTTACTTGCTGTGTCTTTTTATTTCGCCCTTTCAGTACATTTCTTTCCTTTTCCATTGAGGGGGGGGGGTAGTTAAAGCTCACATTTAATGTCGTAAGGTCAGGAGGGCAAACCAAAATGAAATGTGGGCTTCAATGACACGTCGGCTGAACTTCAGCATCTTTCGAAGTTGATCGATGTATGTGTTTTTTTCCTAAAGATTTTAAAACATACCGACAGTAATTCTGTTTAGCAAAGCAAATATATTTGCCAAACGAGGCTTGTACTATTGAGGTGTTGGTTCGGTTAATTTGACTGTACTTATACCCATATTTAGAGTGTAAATAAAATATACATATAATTACTTTGCATGTATGGAGGTACCTTCTGTTCAATGACAGTGGATCTAGACAAATTATGCAAACAAGGGCTCGATATGCCTTGAATGATAAATGATAATGTAAACGAAGACAAATTCCAAGTAGCATTGATGTTTTGTTAGGAAAAACCACATGACTAGATCACACACTTGAAATATGCTTAGAACGTCATCAGTTAGAGAAGGAAAAGGGAAGAACGCATTATCAAAACTGTAATATACGCAGTGTCGTCTTTTTTTCGTTGTTCGGATTTTTCGGGATGAGACCTTGCCTCTGTTTTAATGTCGTTTCCTTTGATCATAATTTCCTACTTAATGTATTATACCTCATTTTGTTGCTTCAATGAGCAATCCTTCAACGTGATCATGACGAACACACATAAAGTCTCAGTCTATTTTGTTGGAGTTAACTTTGAGTATCATTTCAAGGTAGCAGAGACAAAAGAGAAAAAAATGTTTTGAAAAGAGTAAGAAAAATTAATCTTGTGACCTTATCTGTATCAGTTTGACCAGACATAGTTATTAAGCACTGATGTGTGGATTATCTTAATTTTGTACAAATTTGAGGTTAGATCGGGAGTATGATGTGCCATCATACATTACAAAAGGAATCCAGTGAGTCAGAGTGGGTAATAGAAGTTGTTTGTACTCACAAAAACTTTGAACCTGACAAAATCACGATTGCCACTACTAATTGACCTACGGAAAGAAAAGAAACTTAAATTCTTTTCCCAAAATGTTGGGTATGTAATGATGAAAAATGGTATTTGTAATCTCCCGGCGAGAGCTGTTAGGATTAATCTGCAGACGTTATTAATCAATCGAACACTTTATTTTAAAAGCTTAATTATACCTTTTCCTTTTTTCGTAGCTGGAATATTATTCTTGTTCATTGCATTTTCCAATAAAATTATTCCTGCAGTAGCTATTCAAATTTGAAGCTTTTGCGTTGTACCACCCTGAGTCTTCGTTTACTATTTCATGGATGTGGAAAGGCCAGTTTATGCTCTCCCGCGGATTCGAATGTCTGGGTGTATTTTCCGCGGCTTCAAGCGTCCTTAATTTTCTGAGAATTTGTCAGGGCCTCACAAATCTTCTTTTGTCTTCCAATTCGCGCTGAGTATGAGCCGGCCTTGCACATCTTTAAGGGTCTTTTTCTAAGTCTCGATTTCGTCTCCGTCTAAGCCTTTGACGACGAAGGCCGCTTGAATTCCTAAATATACTTCCATCCTCGAGTCGGTAGCAAACATTTCAGTGTCTCTTGCGAAATGTGACTCCTTGGAGCTTAAAAACTCCACATCAGAGTGTCCAAATCCGACAAGTGAAATCAGAGAACGAAGGCAAAGCAGAGATCTGGAAAAATCCATTGAATTCTTTTTCGCCAGTTCCGTAAAAATGGAACGAATATATAGACATATGGACGCAGACGTACATGTGAAGAAATGAGATCTGCATAGACACATAACCGAAGTAATGAAAAGAGCTCTATCGCACCCATGACGCGAAGACGTTGAACTCAGCCTATGCAGAACTACTCAGCCCTGGTGTGGGGGTCAGGTTGCAACTTCTTTGTAAAAGGTCCGTCCACGTGAGGAAAAAATGAATGACCAAATTTAAAATTGATTTCAAAAGATACCTAGACGTCTATCCACTTTTTCCCTAGAAGATGTAAACCGAAGAAGACACTTTGTCGCTGACTGAAATTACCCAATGCTGTAAAAAAATAGCGGTATGTCTGCTGCCATCAGCGTCGAAAAGTCTCCCATTACCACTGATTCATGGAAGTGCATTCGACGAGAGTCCTGATTACGGTACATGAGGGCAGTGTTCTCAACGAACTGCCGCAACAACTCCGGGGAGATTTTCTAAATCTTGCCTTCCTCTGGGGTAAAGGCCAGTTTATACTGCAGGTGAATGCGAAAAGCGATTTGACGTCACAAAAGATTTCCAGGGAAATTAACTTTTGCGAATTCGCTACGCGAATATTTGATAAGACGTCACAAATTCGCGTTTGTGTTCGCTTTTGCGCGAAATATGAGCCTACTTCGAAATATACGGAGGCAGGAACCAGGACGAAGGGTGCTAACCAGTTTCATAACTACGACGGGGGAGGGACCCCCAACAAAGGTAAGAGCCCAACCCCTTTGATATTTTGTACATAGTCTTGGCCACAAATTAATAGAGCCAGAAAGTAAAAGTTCATGCAGCGAGCTTCCGGAACCCTCGCGCCGTGCGCATATGGGGATTTTACATGGGCCGTCCTATCACATCCTATAAATTTTGGACGAATGATTTCTAACTGTCGCAAATTTCCCTTTGTCCTCTTCAAGTAATGTTTAGAAAAAGTCACCTGGAGATGGTTGAAAAACGAATTTTATTAACGACCTTTGGCTTCCGGCAGTATCGTTCCTTGGTCTCGGAAACGTGGAAACGAGATTGTACAACGTTGCAAAGATTTACCTATCTGCAGTCCATGGATTCCAGATTGAGTTGACATGACGCAGTTCTTGTTAGTTAAGGTTAGATCATACATTAAAATCTTTCGTAAAAGCACGCCATTGCCTTATGTTTATTCCCGTATGAATTTCAAACCCTTAAGATATTTTGGTCTATTTTTAGTTTGGCTTTTACAGAAAGACTATCGTAAACCATAATTCCGTAACAGTTCATTTGCGTACGAGACCAACGAATTGCACTTTTCTTCATGTATCTTGGATTTTCGGAAGTGATAGGTCAATTTTTGGCATGATAGTTTTCTTTTAGGTCAGGTCATTTTTCAGATTCCATAAATTGATATGCTAGCAAATATTTTACAAAATGCCTTTTTAAGAGTAGAGTTTTTAAGAAGTAACTAAACGAAAAAATATTACAAATTCTAAAATTTCTGCACGTTATTTTTCCTATCCAAGGGTTCCGGAAGCGCGCCATCAGGTGTCAGCTTTCAGGCTCTATTTACTTTCGCTACCCCCCTCGAATGTCTACACCCCGGGTGCTTCTTCAAGAAATTTATGCGGAAAATGCAAACTTACAGGACATTTCTTTGAGACCATTGAACTTGTGTGCCTTACAGTTTGATATGAAATGATGTTTCTGAACTGTGATCTGCCATCAGCGATACCTTTTAATGGACCGATTACACCCGCAAAGTCGTGTGGCCTATTGTTGGTATCAGACATCAACAAACATGGCGTCCTTCCACAGCAAAGTGTGTCATAAGTGTCAATACGAGCGAGTCACAATAGTGCGCCTCCAAGAGTATGAAACGCGTTGGCCAATCAAAATGCGCGATATGTGTCGACCTTTTCAAACCGCGCATTGGGTCGACAGAGTTCGCGCATCATGATTGGCCAACGCGTTTCAAACTCTTGGAGGCGCACTATTGTGAATCGCCCATATTACCAGAAATAAAACTGATGGTCTGTACAGTATAGTCAGACTACCGATACCGACAATCGGTATTATATCAGGTGAACAGCATTTAAAGCACACGTTGCTGTGGGAGGACACTATACTTGTTGCTGTTTGATACGCACAATAAGTCACGTGACTTACCGGGCGCAATCATATAGATCATTATCATAGTTTGTATCATTCTTCAACCAGCGCGATTGCGGCCGTTTGTTCAGTTTTGCCTTTGTACCATAATGCCCTTTTATCTAAAGCCCATTGACGGCTGGAAAGCGTCTAGCTGTTTCAACGCATGGAGGGCACATGCGCAATGTCCCGGGCATGTCTTTGTTAAACGGCCCGGGCAGATTTGTGACCGAGGCTACGCACATCAACAACGTAGGCCTACTTTAGTACTTAGAGGATTAATTTTTGAGGATCCATAGACGTGTACATCTCATCAATTAGAGGATTATCCATGACATCGTTTTGCAACTGTCATCATCAATTATCTGTCGTGGAATTTGTGCCCATTCTTGCGCTGACAAGTTCATGGGCAACAGTCGCACCGCAGTGGTTGGATGTTTGAGTCCTTTCTCCACGATTGGCCTTAGTAGGTAAACACCCCCAACGTACATGTACAATCGCATCGTTCAGGAGAGCTAGAACGCAGTGCACACGTACATGTTCGTGTACCTAGTGTACATGTACGTACATGTACACATACACAGAAAGGAAATTACGATGCATGCGTACGTGATTGGTACTGTGGTAGGCCTATGGTCAGCATGCTCGAGATGACCCATGACAGATTACCCCAGGTGTGTTCTAAATAGTAGTTGGGTTGTCGAGCTCGACCAGGGGTCACGTATTGCGTTACACTGCAGCCTCACTGTAGGTCACCATTGTTTGGCAGGGCAGGTCACGGTACCTTATTAAAGATAACCTAACTGTAAACTCCACCACTAAATGGGCGAATTTCAATGGCAATCCTATAAATTGTGCAAGACCAGGACTGCATCTACCAAAGGTAATATCCGAAGGATTAAAACCAGTTTACATCGAGTTTAACTTGAAATTGTCGCATTCCCGGATTTTCATTCCAGGCCGGATACACAATGTACATACATGTACATGATGTAAGTTTTATTATTTTGAAATTTGGATTGCATTTTGCAATATGTTTTGGACAAATTTATTATAAAATCATTGTCAAGATATTGACGTGCACCCAAACAGCGAGACTGGTTTGCTGTTTTGATAAAGCAGTTGGTACTTAAGATGTTTGTACATCAAATTCCTTCGTGCGTGCCGTGCACTGATACCGTTGGTCATCACTACTTGCATTTAAACTATGCAACACCATGACATAAAGCTTTAACATACATGTAGCCGAGGCTATTTAGTGTTATGTGGTTTCCATGTTGTATTTTTTTCTGGTACCAGTTTGGGATTTCGATGCCCGATTATTTTGGACGTGAGAAAAAGAATTTATTTTTAAAAATTGCAGAGATAGAAATTCCCCGTCCACTGATGTAACCTTTTTAATGCAATATTAGAACTCCCATTTAATCTCCGTTTCAATTTGTTGTGTCTATTGTAAGGGGGTAATTCCAGAAATTAGGGGTCCAAAAGTGTGACATTTTTGTGTCCCTGTTACATCTGGCCATTGTTTTTTTACATGGAAATATCAACGGAATTGATTCAAACTATTAGGCCTACTGTTTGTTTGGCAAATAATTTGCATTAATTAATCATTCTTGGAAATTAGAAAATGTGTTCTGAACTTTACAAAATCACATGTCAGATGTGACTGGGACACGTAAAAAATCGACCCCTAATTTCTGGAATTACCCTAAGGGCATTAGTTGTTACTTATGCGAATTCCTTATTCATGAGCAAACTGGGTTAATCTGGATAGAATCTTCAGTGTTACACAACTTTTTTCAGCACAAAATGTTGTAAGAATCTGTGATATTTGGTATTTTGATTTCTTTTCGATGATTTATTGTGAAATAAATGTCGATGAACAACGCTTTCTCATTTTCAAAGTGCATTTTCATGGGCTCGCCATTTTAACAGAAAGCTTCTAAACTTAGCAAAGTCCTCCAAGGATGACATGACAGTAACGGTGCTGTCAGTTATCAGGAAAAAAGCGTTGACAATTTAAACTGTTTTATGAAGTTTACTTTTTGATACAGTTTACCAGCAGCTGGGGGCTCTTTAAAAGGCAATTAAACATGCATTTTATTAAACTCTTTAATCGTTTACAGTCAAGTTCGTTAACTTGGGTTTCTTGGCTTAGTGCTTCAATGTTCTTTGCGTCAATTTTTCGGTGAAACAAATGCTGTCCCAGCTTTTGGACTTGATTAAAAAAAACGGATACCCGACTTAACCTAGGAAATCAAGAGAACCTTTTTATTTCCACAACAATTTTTTGAAAAAGAGTAAAAATTTATGGGGCCAACCCTCAAGTCTGATTTATGTGTGCGTCATCCTGTATTATTTATTAATTTTTTTTAGCTGGTCAGTTTAAAAGTGGCCTGCTGTATTGTGTCTATGCCCATAGGCATCTGCTTTCAGAATTCAAACAGTGATTATAGGCTACAGTGCCGAAACGTAGTATAAATATGTACAGTTAATCACTTCAAAAGGAATCATTTATGAACTGTTGCAAATGAGTGTATCCGTGCAAACAAAAAACCAAGTTGACCGTCGTCCTTCTGTAATACTTAACCCTATAGTTTTTAGTGCCACTTAAGGGTATTTTATGCTTGTGTATATTATTGCTTGTTTATGAGTAAAAGTGAGGTGTCAATTAAGGCGGAAACCTCTGAATTATAGCAATCTCTGCCCTAAACTTTATATATTTTGTACATTGCTGTTAACAATTTATTTTACTTTGGTGATCCGTTGTTGTATGTTTTTATTTTTTTTGAGCAAATGATGACTTCACACTTGAACAGTGCCCTCCCATAATTACTTCACCACAACGACGCTTCCATTTGTCAGGTAAAGCATGAAAAATTGTAAACTTTTGGAAAGAGTGTGCTTTTCAGTGAGAGTCACGAAAAACACATGAAACACATAGGTTTTTACATTTAAGGCAAGGATAAATTTGCAAAGGAATGTGTTTGCAAGTAAAATTCACATCATGGATCCCTTATGCCCTGGAAACGGATTCAACGGATGTGAAAAGGGCATGCAAAGTTAGATTTACCGGCGTCTTGTCAGTTTAAAAAAGTGTTGAATTTTAATATTGCCACATCTCCCGATTTTTGTTTTTCCCAGATGAATGCATCAGAAGAAACTGAGGTGATTCTTTCGCAGTATCTGGATTTATACTGAAAACAAGGTTCGTTTGAATTCGATTTTTTTATTGAGTTACTTTTTTAATTGATAAATGGCTTTTATCCACCAACGTAATCTACCGTGTTTTTTTTCAAATTATCATACCAATCTAATACCTCATTTTGTGTCTGATGCCATATCTTGTTTCGTGTCCCTATTCCTTTGTAGGATATTGCAGTGTGTATGAAATCCTGCTGTTAATTCCTGACCTGATCCCGCACAAGACGAACTTTTTCGAAGATACGGTACCAGAGAGACTTCCTAGCAATGGCTTTCTTTTTCAAAAGCACCCATACCATCAACGACCCACTTTCGGGGACAGAAAATGATGACATTCTCGCGGAAGAGATTGCCGTTGACGCGGGCTCGTTGAAAATCTCTAGATGCAAGGAGTGTGGCTTTGAGTTTCAAAGTGACCAGTATAAAAAAGATCACGAGAGATGGCATGAGCACGTACGTAGCAAACAGCGTTCGTCCAAAAGTCGTGGAAGTGGCGGAATTCAAGCTTATCTTGGCACAGAGACGACAGCCTTTCGGCAGCCTGAGATGGTGCTCAAACCCTTTGCATGTGAATACTGCGGCTGGCGGTTTATCTTGAAGAAGGACATGATACACCACGTACGGACCCACACAGGAGAGAAGCCGTACGCATGCTCGGAATGCGACAAGCGATTCTCGCGGGCTTACTCGCTCACCCAGCACAAAAGAACGCATGACCGACGGGATAAAACTTCCACGGGCGACAAATGCTCGAGGGGCTTTGGAACCAGAAACCATAACCTTACGCACCTTAAGTACGTCCAAAAAGAACCGACGGAAACTGAAACTTCCACGCTGAAAGTTGAAACAACCCAGAGTAAAAAAAATAGTCACCATAATAGGGCGTCATCTGAATCTCATGCTGACTTAACCGTCCCAACCCAGTCATCAATTTCGTCCCCACCTGCTAGTGGGCCTTTGGAAAAGCTTAAAACTATAGATACTAGCAGTATATCAGACATGAAGGAAACTGCAGGGAATGAAAACATCAAGCAAGTTGACAACTTCTCCGCGAAACCTCTTGGTGGTGGAAAGCGAGGGATTCGCTTCACCTGCCAGTTTTGCGGATGGGGATTTTGGGATAAGAAAGACAAGAATCAGCACGAATGGACGCACACGGGCTTTAAGCCGTATCGCTGCACAAAATGTGACAAGAGTTTCTCTCGTACCTACACTCTAAAGCTTCACCTGAGATCTCACACAGGCGAGAGACCTTACCGTTGCCAGCACTGCGATAAAAGTTTCACATGTGCCAGCAGCCTGCGGCTGCACGAGCAGGTGCACACCAAGGTGCACAGGCACAAGTGCAGTATGTGCCCAAAAAGCTTCAAACGCATAGCCGATTTCAGAGATCACCAGCGGGAACATCTCAACAGCGATCCCGTTACGTTTGCTAGGTGCTATAGTGCCACGAATAAAGGTGCCAATGTGAAGGTCGCGTCTCATCCTGTTAGCCATTCACCCGCACGGTCTGACCTTGCCATTCCTACTCAAGAAATTTCGTCTAAAGGGGCACATGAGATCTCTGCTTATCCATTAGAAAAAAGTCATCAGGTCAGCTCTACAACATCTATAAGTGAATTTCCTCGCGGACCCGATCTTAAATATTTACAGTCACAAGACACCAATCAACCTAAGTCAAGTGCTTTAAACTCAACTTGTTCGTCTGGGGAACTACAAGACAGTGATCGAAAAATCTTGATCAAAAAGTACAACAAGCTCATCTCCGGGCGAAAATGTTGGCGAGAACCAAGATTCGTGTGCCAGTACTGCAACAAAGCGTTTCACGATAAGAAAGACTGCCGCCAACACGAGAACACCCACACTGGTTTCAAACCGTATGAGTGCAGTGTCTGTGGAAAGAGGCTATCCCGTCTGTACTCGCTGAAAGTGCACATGATGGGTCATACGGGCATCAAGCCGTACGCCTGCTTGTACTGCCGCTCCACATTCCGAGATCGTAGTGGACAAAGGTCGCACGAGCTGACCCACGCTAAAAACAACAAATACCAGTGTAAAATTTGCCTGTGTGTCTTTAATCAGGGAAGTGTCTTAGCCAGGCATGTACAGGCTCACCAGTGCGGAAATCCAGAGTTGTTTACCAAGTTTTATCCCAATGGATTCGACCTGAAAACAAGAGGCGAAATTCATCTCGACTGGCACTCGGGAGAAACTAGCCATGTTGCACGGAGAACGGATGTGACACAAAGGAGCGATATTATGCAGTACCAAGCGACACATGGAGTTGTCAGGGTTGCACAACACATACACAGAGGTCCTGTGCGGTACAACTGCACTCACTGCACCAAGAGATTCCGGGATAAGAAAGACTGGCGCCAACACGAAAACACGCACACAGGTTTCAAACCGTATTCGTGCAAAGTTTGCGGGAAGAAACTGTCCCGCCCGTATTCACTCAAGAAGCACATGCTGACCCATTCAGAGGAGAAACCCATTGTCTGTGCGAACTGTAAACAGTCTTTCCGACGCATAAGTGGTCTTCTTTTGCATCAGAAACAACACCACCCCTGGATCGCGCGTCACGCTTGCTGTCTTTGCAAAACGACACACGAGGGAGTAGACGATCTGGAGAGGCATATCCGAAGTGACCATGTTGAGGTCGTCAGGGTATTAGCATCAAAATTCTTTGGGGATAAGCAAGCACTTGCTGCCCTAAGTAATCCTAAATCATCGAAGCACCAGCGAACCAACGTGATCTCTGACCAAGCAAATCCGGAGGACGCAATCGTGATATTTTTGTCCCGACGAGACCAGCAAGTTGACCGAACAACAGCGTCTCTCTATGACGAGGCTGTAGAAGAGTACAGATCCTTCAATCGTAGGTTTAGGACTTATTCGATGGCACACACCTCTGCAGAAGGAAATAGAGATCTCGGAGAGAACACTGATGTGGAGGACTGCCACGTTCCCACAGAAACTTTCTCTTTCAATCACCAGGAACCTGGAGTTGCATTGACAGAAAAACTGTTTTCCTCTTCAAATTCTAGCTGCGTCAGTGATTCCTCAATAAAGAGACGAACAAGGCGATACAAGTGTACCTATTGTGGGTGGCAGTTTAGCAATTCAGACGTCTTCAGACGTCACCAATGCAGACAGAGAAGAACGCTTCATAAGAGAAACAGATTGTCTTGTAGTAATTGCAAGGAAATTTTCAACAAGAGAGAACAACTCCAACTTCATCTACAGTCGTGCGGCTTTTTTTGCAGTTTGTGTTCTCAGAACTTCAAGACCAAAGGAAAACTCAAAGCACACTTGGAAAACTTGCATATGGGCCCTAGAGCTAGGCACCAATCGCGCAGTGAAGAAGAATTCGGCTCCACTCCATCTATGACTGTGGATAAAGATCTTTCCAGCGATGAACCTGCTGCTGCCAAGCTTCCTATTAGTTCAGCAGAAACCTCTGCCGACCGTTCCCCATTCCACAACGTTGAAGTTGAAGGTTTGGAGGAAGTAAACACAAACGCGCAGTGTTTCAGAAATTTCAAGTTTACATCATCGACGAAAATGAGTAAACAAAGGAGAGCCAAACATGCTGTTGTCACGTGCAGAGTCTGTCACAAGAACTTTTCTCATGGCTATGCTCTGAAGTTGCATTTAATGATGCACGCAAGCGAGACAGAGTACAGGTGTCGACAGTGTGCTCGATGCTTCAGTTCCAAAAAAGGTCTAACAGAACACAGAAAGAGCCACGCATTTCCTCATCAAACGTATGACGTTGCTTCCCCTGATTCTGTGCGAGACGAACAACGCAAAAACAACGGTGTCTTATTCCGAGAAAATTTGAAGTCAGGCTCGCACTTGGAGGTTAGACGATTTCAAAGCCAGGCCCTTCAGACAAAGCCGCACAAGTGCGTCTACTGCGGTTGGGGTTTCTGGACACGAAAGGACTGCGTCATTCACGAACGGACGCACACAGGAGAAAAACCATATGTGTGTGACACGTGTGGCAAGAGCTTCGCCCGGAATTACTCGCTCAAGCTTCACAGCCTGACCCACGATGGTATGAAACCCTTTCGCTGCAAATATTGCAACAAGGGATTCTCTAGTGGAGGATACGTCAAAATTCACGAGCGCATCCACACAAAGGAGAAACCGTACACTTGTAGGGGATGCGCAGCGCGGTTCTCTTGTAGCTCTAGTTTGACAAGGCATGAGAAATCGTGCAAACTAGAAGATGAAAAGCGACAGGGGACTGGTTTCTCAGGCAGTTGGTCTTCTGTCCAATCATCATCCTCGGTGAAAAGGGGATTCCTAAAATGTACATCCGACGGACATAACAGCAATGAATCTATCATACATCCCAAAAGATGGTTGCGATACAAATGCAGGTATCGTGTGTGTTTCTTTTGTGGTTGGCGGTTCGGCGACGGAATTAGGTCACAAAGACACCAAAATTGGCATCGTAAACGCTACCATGTTGAATTTCTTACTTTGAAGGCAACTCTTGTCTCTCAGTCAAGATGTAAAGAAACAATGAAAACGTCGGAAGCCAAAGATCCTCTGCACTGCGAAAGATGCGACAAACACTTTCGTGGTCCTAATGCGCAGAGGTTCCATATTAACCACATTCATGCAGTGCTTTGTCCATTCTCGTGTGCTTGTTGTCACAGAGGTTTTCAGTCGTACACAGATTTCAAAAACCACCTCAAAACGTGCACCCACGACAAAATGAAGAGATGATAGAGTGTCTACATCTCCAGTAGGGCATCAGAAGGTATGCCAAACCTTCCAGGCACACAAATTCCACGAATAGTTTAGTTCAACAAGACTCTTGACTGGGTCCAACTCAAGGATCTACCTCTGCAAAGTCTGGTACAGCGGGAATGGTTGCTTCATATTGTGGCGTTGGTCCACTGACACCAGAGCTGCTTGATGGTGGATCTAACCAGCGTTGAGATCGCTGATCGAGATCCAGATCCTTGTGAAAGAAACAGGCCCATTAACTCATCAGATAGAACACGACGCCACAGATGTAGATGACATGTACAGTGGCTTATATCCAGTTCTCCTGAAACGATCCTCTTGCATCTTTTGTTCCCTGAAATGTCCCACGTCACAGGCTGTCTGGAAGCACGTGCCTATTTACACAGGAACGAGGTCATTCCTGTGCCAAGAGTGCGGTTGAATCTTCCACCAGAAGTTGCATCCAGGAAAACACGTGCTTATTCACGTGTTGAGTGATCAGTGTGCGACATAGGTTCCTCTCACAAACACCAACTTACGCGGAAGTCGTTGACTTACACCCAACACCTTCGGTCATACATCTGCCATCTGTGACATTTGAATCCAGCTGAATGGGAGCATAAAAGAGACTGGAACGGGTGATTCACTAGCGGAAACACATGACAAGGGCTTTCTTAAGTGTTACTCCTTGACTACATGGATGAAAGTCGTTTTGAGTGTCACATTGCATTTGCTTTGGAGGCTTCAGTGATGAAAACAAACCGAATTCCCCAGACTAAAGACACTGTTACTATACCTCGTGATTCGGGGCAAGCTTTTGCATTGCGACCATCATCTCTAGAATTGACTGGTTCCTTTGTGCCTCTATTATCCATTGAAAACAGCGTATTGGTGCAATTCAAATTGTTATGTTTGCGTGGACTTAAAGAAAACAGTGTACCAAATTTATTCAATTTTTAACTTGCAAAAGGCTTATTAACCTTTAACTTCCAAACCGAGGATAGATAAACATCTTTAAACTGTTTAAGCATTCAAGCCCTTCATGTTTTGCTTTATACTAATATTTTTCATACACGGTTCTGTTCGAGACCGGAAAATGAAAAAACAATTCCAAAAGATAGAAAGAAAGAATGTGTTGTTGACAAGACTGCGCATTGAATTTTGGCATTATTTTAAGATTTGTTACCATCATTTTGGGTTGTAATCATGTTCACGTAGGCGACATTTTAATCAAGAGGTGTGATCTGGATGACAACCCAATAATACTACGTTCAAGAAATCATTCGTCCAGCATCATAAGTCAAAGGGATAGTTGTCGAGAAAAGTGGCTTGTTGGTTTCTTTGTGAACTGGGCCCGGCGATCAGTCTATATCTGCATGACCATCGATCTTGCGCGGCATTAGTCGATAATTCTAGCATATTCGAGCTGATTTACTTATTCTAATTCACAATTTTGAAAGACTGTTTTGAAAAGGGGAACCAAAGTCCGAGATTTCCAACAGGACCGAAAAAGGGCAACCCGATCGGGAGATCGACTGACCTCGCAGATGGACCGATCGTGCCCAACAGAATCACCACAGACCGCCTACATGTAACACCATCAAGCTTCGTAGACCATGTGCAGTTGGTTATTTATTTTTTTAAGAAAGAACAAATTCAACAACCTCATCAAAGGCCAAGTAGTGGGCTATTTTCTTAGGGTTATCAGCAGTTAGGTATTTGACTTATTAATGTGCATTTTGTCAGAAGAATTAATTAAGGTGTAAAATGCGCATGACGGCCGCAACAATTACAAGACTTGTAATTATGCGGTGTTGTATGTAAGTCACGTGACACACATTTCAAAGATTTTTACAAAAATTGTGTGGTGTGTTGTACTTTTCAATTAGACGTAATCCGTTCATAGGTGCATGGAGGAGAGCCAATTGGTATGTCCAATTAGTGACTTGGCTATACCTGTAGTCTTGGCCCAAGACTGGATTTGCATTGCTTTATCTTCGTTCTCTGCGTGGGAAACGAGCGCTAGGCCATATTCACAAATTGTGGAACGAACTTTTCTGAAATTCAGAACAATTGATGCATACGCCAAGGGGGTGTTCCAAATCGTAGCATCGTCTCCGTTCACGGTGCAGAACTTGATGTCGATTGAGCTTGTACGCCATTGTTGAGTTCAAACTCTATGAAAATAGGCCTTCGTGTGCTTTTTTGCATGGGTCGGTAGCACGTTTTGATGCTGCTTTGCAAAAAAAGGATAATTTGTTGAGCTTAAAGCTACAAAGTCAGGGAAGAGGGTCAAGACTGCACGCTACATCGGAAATCGTGTTTGAGTTTCAAAAATTGGTCGGATAGGAAGTGCTGTTACATGGGGAGTGAAGGGACGGAATACGTGCTTTTCTTGTCCAACTAAAAGTTGAATAGTTTCAGACTTTTTGTTTTTCACTATTCAATTTTTTTTGGGGGGCAGATTTTTGGGATTTTCTATGCTGATGAATTCATGTTTTTCCATATTCATTAATAAAAGTTTGATGTTTTTCCACTAATAAAGCCTAGGGTTATTGGTTTGTGTACAAAAACTCCTGCATTTGTGAGGTTTTGATCAGCGGCCTAGGTTTTGTCTTTGATGATTCATTGTAGAAGTACAAGTACAACCCTTTTTTCGAAAACATTTTTTTTGGGGGGTTGGCTATTGAATCACCCTTTTGTGGTGAGCAAAAGATGAAAGCAGATTGTGAAGAATTTTTCAGACTGCCAACGACTAGGTCATACCTAGACACCGTACATCAATATCATGAGCATCGACCGCTGAAAAGAGTCATATGGCGTCACCCCACATTTTCATAGCCGGGCAAGTCACCCCCCCCCCTTCCGCATCCCCTCACCCCGCCCCTTCCAGCACAAATTTACGCCCTTGCTCGAAAATATTTTCATTGAGTAAATCAAGATTTACAATTGTAACAGAAAGCCCACATGTGCTGAACCGTGTCTTCCTGGATGACATCACAGCAGCTGCGCCCTCAGCTGTCTAGGGAAGCATGGGTCCTTTTAAAACATAAAAGTTACATTTTTCAGTACATTTAATAGACAACAAACCCTGAACCAGTGCGACAGGGGTGCGTTCGCAACCTTCTGCACAGGTGTGAAAGCAAAAGTACGTCTGATTCCGAGTCTAGCGGGTTGGTCACGGGTTCCATATGTGACCGTTCACGGTCGAGTGATGACGTCATCGTTTCCGACGCCATTTTCTTGTTCGACGGGTTAATGCTGCGTGAATTTTCTACTCCAAATGTTGTCGTTGCAAGTGCTGCCGAGCGGTTAGCTTTTGTAAGCCTGGAAGTTGAAGAGATTAAGTTCAGAATCACTAAAATTACTGTCGAGGACAAGTTATGGCGACGCAAGACAAAGGTGAGATGTGACACTATTGTAAAATGAGGCCTTTAGGCTTTGAAATCTTCAGTCATGTCAATGGCAATAATAGGTCGACGTGTATTCCCGACATGTTCGGGAGGGGGGGGGAAACGTGGAATGGCTTTTTCAGTTTCAGGGAAGCGTTCAAGGATCAGGTTAGCCCTGTAGGGGATTGTAAATAACAGAAGAGAGACCTACATTTTAATTTTTGGATAGGCGTAGGCCTAAGCCTTATTGTAAGTAGGAGTAGGCCTAGCCCCACTGTGTGGCACGGACCCTCACTCCCGATCCATCCTTGGCCACACATCCGTATACGCAATTTCAAGTCGGCGTATTGAACATTTCGGCGCATCCACTTATCATCGTGGGCGCAATTTCTTTTGCACATGAACATGATTCTTGACCCTTCTGCTTTTTAAAAATCATTTATTGAATGATTTCACTCCCGTTATTGAGGTATTTTCCAGTCTTTTTGCCTTTATCCATTCAATCTAACGGGCCCGCTCTCAAAGTCGCCATCTTTAAAATAAGGCCGTTGAACATTACGTCACTTGACCCCTCATCGTCTCGATGGCTCTTCCATGTCAAGCTGCAAGTCGTAATTTTGATTGGACAATACTAGAACATTAATATTCACGAATTAGTCAAAGCACGGTCCGTGACAAAAAATAGTGTTATTGGAAGGAATTCTCTGAATTTTCCTTCTCTGCCGAGCTTTAAACTTCGAAGTTTGTGAATATCTTCGTCCCAAACCAATAATGCAACACTTTGTCAGAAGGGGGCGGCTTGAATTGGAGTGTGAAATTAAATGGAAACAGATTAATGTTATTCAGGTACACTTCTCCCATAGGGTTGTGCATAAAATGCATTGCATGTATGTCATCCAAACCCACAATGCATTGCGAACGTCGAAAATGTTTATTAACGTAAATATAATCACCAAACTTGCAGTACATAAAGTTTTACATAAAAGCTTCAATAAAATAAAATATCCAGTGGTACGTTGCTTTGCATTTTCCATTAGTTACCGTGGTATTGGCATATGGTCGGCTATATTACTGATTTTTTTCCCCAAAAGACCCTTATTTTAATCTATATTTTGCAAATATTTTAAAGATTTTTGTCTTTGGAGTGGCAAGAAATCGAACTTGGCCTAATTGGTACAAAAATGAGACATTTAAATGTGTAATTTAACATATTTCCAGTGGTTGGCATATAAACAAAAAATAATTCAATAAAAAATAAACTAGCACCCAAAAGAGGGCAAGTTGCCAATGGCCTGTTTTTGACCAGTCGCACCACCATTCAGTTGAGAGTGACAGCTCCCGATGAATTGACCTTGCGCACACGCACATGCGAGGTCTAAATCCTTGGTCAAAAGAGCTCAGGAATAGCTGTATAAATTTCATTCTCTGTGCAAAACTACCCATAATATAGACCTCAAAATCACATATGTACTATAAGAGATATGTAAAATTCATGTAATGATTCCACTTACTGCGATATTTGAGGATGTGTCCCTTAAAATTGATACTTAGCGTCATTTACCTTGTAACTTCCTTCGTAGAAAACTTTACGGGGTTGTGTAAACATATGATTGCAGATTAACCCTTCAGGATTACAATGAAACCCATCATTCTGCCGATCACATTGTGTGCGATCGCGAACAGGTCGTCAAAGTTGGCATTTCGTTTTTCCAACCAGTAAGCGCGGGCCACGTGCGTGCTTTCGGAAGTTTCGTGATGAACGGGGCAGAGCAAAGGGCATTCATTCATGGATCGCTAGGTAAACAAAGGGGTATCCAATGGCTGTTTTAATGACATGTTTGGAAAGATGAAACTCTAAGCTTTCGATTGGTGTGGAATTCTTACATATACGATATTAACCCCAACCCCCTAGGGTGTATGTAAAATCGTATTGCTATTGGAGGATTTGGGACTGTTAGGGTTAAATAGTCCTCTATTTTCGAGAGTAATATTGTGAGAGTTTGTGGCGCAGCGTAGATAGCCCCATGTACATGTATGCGTCTTCGTGTACATGACGCAGAACTGAAAACCCTAATAGGAGATTTTGCACAATGGTAGAAAGGCATTGTGGAAAGGAAAATGGTGCAAACATTGAATCTTTTACCTTCCCACAATGCCTTTCTACCAAACACAAAATCACATGTGCAGTTTTTGCGGTAAGGCTTATTCTCTTAGGTAGATCATGCTCAATTACTGTAGGCCTCTGGTTAATGTGAAAAGAGGGCAGTATTTTGAATTTTGAGGGAAATTATGAGGGGACACCTTATATTTGGTGTATTTTCTGACCCTGTCTACAGAGATGCCAACTTGTTCAATTTAGGCCTACAAATCTCACCTTAATCTCATGCTGTAAACAGGAGAAAATGTCAGGAAAATGTGCCAGAAAATGCCTCAGATTGCACCACAGAGCATCTAGAACCCAAAATTTCCACACCATAGGGGCTTTATGCGTCGCGCTCGCATTATTACAACCACCATGATATTTCAGGGTTTTTAGGATTTCAGGATATTCAGGAAGTTTTGGGTTTCATCACTGGGTCACAAACGTGACAAAGGCTCCTGGATGTCACAGAGAGTTTCATCATCCAATCACTGGGTCTAGGTACTGGGCCCACTCTGGTGTGTGGTAAAACATGGTCGAACGGTGACTGAATTCATCTTTGAAAATGTTTGAAATCTGTTTTATTTGGTCCCATTTGAAAACACCAATAGACGAAACTGCACCCATTCAAATCTACCCCAAAAGCCATCACTGGATCATATAAATCACGTGCCTTATGGTTTTTTGACCGTGTAACCAGCTATTTTTGGCTAAATTCAGAGCTTGTACTTACCATCCTACCTCTCCTCACAAGACGATCTGCATATCTCCATACTTTGGCCATTTACGTGGTGCACCACACACTGCACATGTGCAATGTAATGAACATTCAATATCACTATCGGTCTGGATACCAGCCCTGATGATTCCCACTATTCTCGTCAAGATTTTATCAAAATATGTCAGGGTATCTTTGATGTTTACTGATTTGAATTGGCAGGTAAAGGCCAATTTTTTGTTCGTGCTAGGTTGAACTAGAAGTCATGTGACTAAAGTGGCATAATATGAGTGGACTATGGTTGCAAGGTGGGTGGGTGGGTCGGTCTGAGTCGGTATTGGATCCAAGTTGGCATGGGGTGGGAGTGGGCATGAGTTCCAGTTACTTAGGTTCCAAGTCGAAAATCAACGTCCATACACTTACCAGAGTGTGACGGTCTCAACAGTTCTGGATCAGTTTATATAAACCAGCTGTCCACCTGGCCGTGCATGAAATTTCTATGACTTCATCTCATGGCAAAAAGTCCTCTCTGCGTGACAGTGACACCAATTTTTTTCTACAATGTCATGAATATTTGCCTGCACCTAGGTTCAATTTTTTTTTAATGTCAGCATAGAATTGATGCCAAAATGACCAAAATTACTGTTGTTGCGGAGCTAGGACATGGACACGTGGTTATGATGCGTGACTGAAAACTCTGGGACCTAACGTTAGGTTCAGGAGCCGCTGTGGACATTTTGGAGGTTTTTGCACTAAATGCAATTTTCTCTTTGTTGTTGTAGCTCTGAACAGGTGTTTTTTATGAAAAAGGTCTGAAATTGCACTAAGTCCAAATTCCAGCTTGTGAATACAAATTCACAGTGTCAGTCATGTCAGTGTTTTAATCACACCGTAGATGTACAAAGCATGGAACTACATGAGGGTTTGCCTTGGTAAATTTCCTAGGTATCCAAAAACACTTGGGCCTACCGCACATGTTCAGTTTCTGTGATGGTACAATAAAAACATATGAGGACCGTGAACCGGCGAAATGTCCACTGCTGTTTCACAGGCTACATTTTCTGGAAATAAACTGCTTTTGAATAGCACCAATGAACCTGATAGTAGGCTCCAAGTCTTGCACCCCATGCCACCTCATACAGACAGATATGGTTGTCACAGTTGCATGGTGACTCATCCCAAGCATTCGTCAGCTGTTCAGATAACAAGGAAACTCTTAGGGGGGCCACAGAAGGGGACATTATAAGAACATAACTGTTGTTGCATGTTCAAAGTGTCATGGGCAATGGGGCGTCACGTCTGCAGACTGCCAGGTGTTTCGTTATTGTAAAGTAGGCTGTGCAGTGGAGGGCCACATTTGATGGTCTCCAGTGGTTCAATGTAATGCCCTCCATGTTCAAGTTGTAAGTCCACACTGGTCTATGCTTGCACTGGTACTGGCAATAGCCACTGAGACATGTTTAGAATAAATGTAATTCCATGCATGTCAAATGTGCTAGGTTTGCTTGGAATCTTTGCAAAATGGATGTTTGTAAACAACTAAGTTGTGGCCGTTCAACCCCTGTCTTTCTTGTATTTTGTAACAGGAGACGATGTGGTGGATGTGTTAACGGATCTCATGGCTCCAGTGGATGACGAGTTTGCTGAAGAAATGGACACATCGCCAGCTGAAAAGAAGCCAGGTGAAGACAATACAATACATTAGCCCTAACCAAGGCTTTCAGAATCCTGAAGGAGTTTTTTTGATAATTTGTTGAGGGATTAGGGAGCATCTCAATTTCAAGCTGGAAACCTTTGTGTTCGGTTGGACCATTCCAACCGGATTGCTATTGTTCCCAAAAAAGGAAGGGAAAATGTTCAAGTACGTAGAATGTGTTGTTTGGTTCTTGTACCATGGAATCATTGAATGATTTGCAGATGTTGTTCACAAAACGTTCAGTTTGGTCAGTGTTTGTTATTCAATTTATTGGCCTTCTCCCCCAGCAGTCGCCAATGTATGAACAAATTTGACTTGGCTCTGTCACACAGTCTAAAGGTTTCAGAAAACTTGTAAAAAGTTGAGGTCGATTAATAGGGATAAAGAGTGGCCTATTTGTGTAATTTCATGCTGGCACAAGTGTTTTATGTTCAAGGCATACTGTACATCGGAACTTATTACTGAAAGCTGCTGTCTCCTCTCTCTGTCTGTCAAGGCTTGGAACAATTTGTTGAGGAACATCGTCTCAATTTTCAAGAAACCCAGTGCAATATCAATATGATTATGTGTGCCTTCGCATGCTCTGTTTCTATCAAAAGCAGATTATATGCAGTGTGGGATCTCAGTAATGTAGTCCATGAAATGACCTGTAAAAGTCTCCCAGGCGTTTACAGCTTGTTTTCTTGTGTATCCATTCAATTTAGACTGACACATGTACTCGTTTGCTGTCGTTTTTAGCTACAACCAAAGGACAGACTCCTCCTTCAGTAAAAAAGTCGACGCCCAAAACGAGCAAGTCTAGTAGTGCCAAGACCAGCAAGACAAAGACAACCAAGACAGCAGCCAAGACCACACCCAAATCATCCACACCAAAGTCTGCCTCACAGGCGTCTGGAGAGGCCACCTCAGGAGGAGATGGGGAATCGGCCAAGACAATGCCCACCACCGCCACCAGGATCAAAAAGGTCGTCAAGAAGGCATCCCCGGGCGAAGCACCTTCAGTGACCAAGAGTAGCAGCGCCAAGGGGGCCGCCAAGAAGACAACTCAGGGCCAGAAAAGAGCTTCAAGTGGCAAAACGACGACAAAGCAGACTGCCATGCCCACTAAGAAAGACAGGGAGGAAAACGAAACTGGGAAAGCAGAGGAAACGGCAGGGTCAGCCCAGCCTGAGGAGGCAGAAGAGGGGAAACGAGATGATCAAGACCCTGTGACCTCTCCACCTCCAACCAAGAAGGCTAAGCTGAAGACTTCAAGTAAAACAGGCATACCGACAAAGAAGAAAGTCGCCACCTCCGCAAAGGAGGTACGAGCGGCTCATTGTGATACACGAAATGGTTTTTTAGAAATGATTGTATATAAATAAAATAAGAGGCAATAAAGACACGGGTTTGTTTGCATTCATGGTGTCTTGAAGTAGGGCAAAAGATCTCCTCTTCAATTTTCTTTTCTTTTTTTGGTACAGGAGGCAGAGTCAAACCAAGCTGAGACAGAGGATTCCCTCCATGGTTCGTCATAGTTCTCATCTTTAACATTCCACGAACATTACTTGGTTGTCAATCTGGTCTCTACCTTGAAGGCTGAAGTCATACGGATCATGGGCTTTTGAACTAGTCCCTGAGTTTTCTTTTCAATAAGTAGGGCTTAAATTTAAAAATGGTAATTGGACTTGGAGTGTAGGTACAGAAATGTTGTGGTTTGGAAGCGTATCAAAAGCCTGGCGGTTTAGAACACAAAGTGCTGTGGGGCTGGTTTATCAGGTTACAGGTATATTTATGACAGGACCCCACAAAGTGTGCCAGAGAGATTATGCCACTGCTGGGGTTTAGTTTGCAGTGGAATAATTCAATCTCTTTGACATCACAGACAAAGTGGACATACTTGGATGCAAAATGTTGTCCATTCCTGTTTGCATGCTAATACCTAAAGAAGAAGGCTGGATGACCGTTGACCCACTTTATTCGGTCTGATCTTGTATTCTGTTTGTTTTTGTTCTGAATTTTTTTGGTTATCAGTGGAGGGAAACAACAAGCCAACTGAAGATGGCAGTGAAGAGCTAGAAGCAAGCATCCCAGGACTTGGCTTTGAGGAGGAAGCCAAAAAGGAAGAGCCCAAGGACGTCGAGGAGACGAGACCGGACGCCATGATAGCACAGGACCTGGAGGGTTTTGACACGCGCAGCGAGGCCAGCAGCAGCGACGAGAGTGAGTCCAGCCTGTCTGATGTCAGTGCCGAGCAATCTGGTGAGAATGGGGGTTTTGGTCTCTTTGAAAGTAGAAATTTGCTAAGCATTGGAAGTATTTGTTCAGTAGATATTTGTGACGAGTGATTTGAGCCTTTCTGACGTCATTGGTGATTGCTCCTCGGAGAATGGTTCTTTTTGGTTTCGGTCTCTGACCTTAACCGTAGCAATTGCTGAGCATGGGAGATGCATGCTTAGCAAAAAGTTCAAGTAGTCTGAGCAAGCCTGGTTGTTTTTCTTAGGAGCATTCAGAAAGCACAAAGCATGTGGATTTGATATGTGAACAAGAGACGGAGAGGTTTCTCGACCAAACACTGGCCTCGTGCAGTGCAAAACATATCCTGCTGGCGCTCATTCTCCCTCGCATGGCGCAGAATACCCACCAGTCATTCCACAAGTCTGTAGCGTTCTCACTTTGGTTGAATGTGCAGGACATCAGTGGTGATTGAGTGCCTCTCCAATCTCCTTGCTGCTCACCATCAAAGGGCTACCTTTGCACAGAGTGGTTGACGGCCGGCATTACCCTAGTAGGGCAGAGAGTTACACCATCACAAAAAGCAATCTTCTTACAGATAATGCCTGGGAGTCTTAACCCTCTTTTTCTCTCCGTCGCCTCCTCAGAAGACAAGCCCCGAAAGCATAGGCCTCGTAAGCGATCTATCTCCCCTATTGTGTATGAGAGATCTGGCAAGAAAGGAAGTGGCCTAGAATCAGGTACTGTAGACAAAGCCTGGAGATATTATCAAACTTTCCACGATCAGTGACAGACGTCACAGCAGGTTTGGGGCAATCTCAAAAACCATCTGTGCTCTTTCATTTCTTTTGAAAATAATGTTGTTTCTAGGACTGAGTATGTTACTAACGTACAAGTGACACTCACTGCTATTCAAATAACTCTAACCATAGAAGCATGTCTGCCGTGTATACATACACAAAGACCAATCAGAAGCATTCCATCAGAGCTACCAGTCCTCGTATGTTTTTTAGAATCTGACAGCCAACACTTTTCAAAGGGAGAAGTCTTCTCTATGTGAGAAGTTGAGGTCAAATCAGGCCACCTGGAAAAAAAATCAAAGTTGTTGGCATGGGGATCAAAGCTATCTGATTTAGTTTGAAAAAAGTTCACCTTGTTTGATTGGAAGCATTCTTTTTTTCTGTTTTTTTTGTCCACAGGAGGTGAAAAACAGGCCCCAATGGAGTCATTGAGCAAAGTTCGCAAAGGTATCAGCACCTGATGTGAAGCTTGTTAAGAATGCATTGTAGCAAGGCAGCCCACTTCAATGATTGAAGTCCCTTTTGATCCACATCCAATCTCTCCAAATACACATTATTAAAGTTCTCTCTTCTACCAAAGACAGTAACTGCTCATCACAGACCCCAGAAGGGCATTTTTGACAAGAACAATTTATCTGTTAATTCAGACAAGCCGAGTAACACTGGAAATGATATTTATCAAATAAAGAGAGCTTGGAACCTTCACAGTTCTTCTTGACACCCAAATGGCATCACCATTAGTAGTTCTTTTAGGGAAAAAAGCAGAAACACCGTTCCAGATTCCTCCCAGCAGAAAGGTTTCGGAAGATTTGACCAAGGGGAGGCGCGTAAAGCTTGCCCATTGTTTGCCTTGCACGTTACCACTGGTTTCCAGCAGATTTGTAAGAATTCAGAAAGGCTCTGGCACCACGTTCCAAGTTGTTGACAGTTTGCAACCATGTTCTTTGCCCGTTTACTCAGCAGATCCAACCTCCAAGCTTAAGTACCTGTTCAGAGATGCCCGCTACTTCCTCATCAAGAGCAACAACCATGAGAATGTGGCCTTGGCCAAGGCCAGGGTATGTATGTAATGACCAGTTACTATTGTTTGGAGGCTGTCGGTCACCCTGTGCGAATGCTGTGCATTCAGACAGCGAAGCTGTGTTGGTTCACAGGCATAGTTCATTAGGTTATACTTGAGAATTTTGGCCTATCTAGACGCGTGATAGTTCCCTTCTCCGAGATCATTTGCATTTAGTGATAAAAAGGAAGAACGTTTTTTTTGGTGTTCAAGAAATCGCTAAAGCTTGTGGGAAACTGATCGGGTGCCCCTCCCTTGCATGTTGTGTGTAAGAGGTTATTGTTGACTGTGTGTTCCCCCCTGATGTCTAAATAGGGAGTGTGGTCTACTCTGCCCAACAATGAGCAGATGCTGAATCAAGCGTTCCGTGAGTCTCGGAATGTCCTGCTTATTTTCTCCGTCAAGGAAAGTGGAAAATTTCAAGGTGAGTCTCCGTGAACACCTCTCCCAAGGGGAAATCATTTTGACTCAGTTCAGGCTTTGCCCCCAAAGCTTGTGGAGCTGATGGATTGTGGTCATTGATTGCTGACAGTTTTGCCTTGGAAATGCCTTGAATTGGGTATTAGCAGCCTGGTGTTGTGTACAATCAGATTAGTCGCTGTGTACATTACCTGAAAAATGTTGAAAAAGGTCGACCATCACAGGCCCCAAAGGCTAGCAGCATGCTGGACTCTATTTTGTCCGAATAACGTGACTATGGCTTTTAATAATGTGCATGCGAATGGAAGCTGCCATCTAGCGGCCACATGCATTTTCCAAAGACCCATGTATTGTTTCTAGCCGCAGCCACATAATTCAGCTGCAGCCATGTTGAGGCTTTGTTCAGACTACTTTTACTGGTCCATTTCTCCTCTAGGTTTTGCGCGCATGAGGTCAGAGTCCAGACGAGACGGCCCCAATATCAACTGGGTCCTGCCCAACGGAATGAGTCGCTCGGTGCTGGGCGGTGTCTTCAAAATAGACTGGATTACCAGGTCAGTTCTGCATCCCTAGCACCTTAAGAATCGAGAGACTGAATTCCTTTTTCACAACCCCTGCTTCACCAATGCCAACAGCAGTTACGGGGACTTGGTCATCCACTTGCAAAAATTGATAGATTTTGAAGGATCCCCCCACCCTGGTTTTTCTCAAGAGAAAAAATTAGTCACCCTTTGCTTGACCCTGGGAGCTGATATTTTCAATTCATTAACCGTAAAACTCCTCAGTCCTCCAACAGGTGAAGGATTGAGGAGTGTTAGGGTTAAGGCCGTGTAGGCTTTGCTACATAATTCTTGAAATTGTTGTGAGCTTATCTTATATTTTCATTGTGGCTTCCATTACCCTGCCAAGGCAAGAGCTTGCCTTCAGCAAGACGGGACATCTCTTCAACAGTTGGAATGACAACAAACCAGTGAAGATAGGACGCGACGGACAGGTAAGAGCCAAGTATGCTTCTTTGCAAATTTAAAGCAAAAATTGTTTGATCAACGGGAGTTATGGACCATATTTCATAGCGTTTAATACTCAGTGTATCAAGATGTGCAGTTATCTGCAAGCAAGCTTACTGGTCGATCAGAATTGCTGTCGCGAGATGTACTTTTTGTGGTGGGGACGCAAGTCTGGGACAAGCACCGAGTATACAGTGTTTATAAATATAAATCGGGTAAGGGCAAAACTCATAAATCAGAATTGCTGATTGCAATCAGACTTATGGACATAAGTCCATATCACACACATTGTGATATGGACTTATGTCCATATCACACACAGTGTGATATGGACATAAGTCCATATCACAATGTCCACTTACATATCACAATGTCCACTTATGTCCATATCACACTGTGTGTGATATGGACATATGTCCATATCACACTGTGTGTTGCACTGCGCCAAGGGTAAATTGCATTGCGCGCCTTGTGTGGAGCTGTTCAGTGCCGTGGAGTGCAGTGTAAATTCAAACGTAGAGCATGTACAGTATATCAAATTGCTTCAAGGCAGAAGTGTCTCACTCGTGTTCAGTGATTACTGAGTACGGTTGTGTTTGTAGCCAATATACCCTGAGGCCAAATGCTGGGTCGTTCATGGGACGCAGATGCACCTTCTTAAAACGTCATCAGATTCTAGACCTTTTCTCCTTTGTCTGTGTCCCCCTCTGTCTTTCAGGAGGTTGAGACGCGCTGCGGTGAGGCCCTCTGCCGACTCTTCCCACAAGACGAGCACATTGACGTGGTGGAGATCCTGCGAGATGCCCGGCGCCGGCGCCGTGAGATGGCCACCCGCAGGAACCGGGAACCACTGAGGTTAGGACTCCAGCCTTATGGCCTTAAAAACACGGACTCGAGCTGTCTAGGATGCTACCGCTCGGAAAGGGGTCATGTGGCCCCTGATGATGGACTACAGCCTCTCAATGGAGTAATCGTGGACTTTATAACCATAGAGCAGAAAAGGGGGTCACATGGCCCCGAACATGGGCGAAGGACTGTGTTGTTAGTGTCTCTTAGCAGCAGAACTGTGTAAGGTATTGAAAATACTGGCCTGATGGCCGGTTTACGGTAAGGTTGGACACTACAGTCTTTGACCATTTTTTAACAAACTGAGCATTCTCTTGATGGAGAAATGTGTGAGAGAGGACAGTCTCTGTGATATCTGGTAGGTGCTGGAGTCTCAAGGTCCACCTTCAACGGGTCATCTGCCATGGATAGCCGTATGGTGCTCATGTCACACCCAACAAAGTTGGTGATGTTGCTGGAAAGTTGAATGCTGCGAGCGACAGCAGCCAGTCACCTCGGCACGTTAGGCTGTTTCTGGGTCCGATGTCGGACCGCTCCACAGCATGTCAGGCTGTTACTTCACGTGTGCACCAGCCTCTGAGGGTTAAATCCCACAGCATGCAGCTGGACAGTTCATTTGAATGAGTTGCAACTTTACATCCAGCAAGTCGGACAGATGCTGTTTTGTTTCTTGATGATACAATTAATGAAAAACTCTTTGTTATGCCAGTGTTACCGAAGGCATTTTTATATCACTCATTTATATGTTGTAAGACATGGCACATGTAATGTGAGGCAGCAACCCAGTGCTTGAAAAGCTCTAGGTCGGTGCGGGACATTCTTGTTGAAGAATATGGGCCCTGAGCTCCAATGCATGGGCCCCAATTTTATGTGCACATGGAGAAGGGTATGCAAAAATTACTTTCAGCTGAATGCGCACAAGCTGGGAACAACAGTATGGGTGCCCGATGCACAATGGCCAAGTCTTACCTCTCACTTTATCACCTTTGAAAAGTTACTTTGGGACTGTGGTTAAGGAACACGATGCTTTCCCTGACTTGGTTCCGATATTAAAGAACAGGCCAGATTTTTTTAGTATTAACCAGTCCCATACCGCATATTTTTGTCCAAAATACTGAACTTCTAGCATTTGCCCACCTTTAAAATACAGCCAAATCCCACAAATACCGACTCCAGAGAGTCAAGTGTGCACTATTGTCACACTTTTTCTTACCATCAATGCATATTTTGTTAGCACTCTTGAGGCCCTTGCCACAGTGATATTTGCAACTGTAGCAGGCCATCGACTACTGTCGAGTTCTTATTCATGCTGCCTGCCTTAGCAATCTCCCCAGATGTCGTGTGTGTATGTGTTTGCACAGAACAAATGGGGTGCACTCGGGGGAAGCTTCAACGGTTGAAGCCTTCAGCTGCCCCAGGCTGTGAATATAGATGATCAGATCATGTTAAGACGTCTTGAGGCGTGAACTGTTAAAAGCAGTTAGATCAGCATTGCCATGTGCGAATATATTTGGTATGCCTGGGCTGGCATTAGCAGAAACAATGTGGGTTCCAAACTCAAGAGGCAGTGCACACAGTGGTGAGTGCCAGGGATTCAGGGTATGCCGTCTTCAAATACAGAAAAACGGCCTTAGCGTGCATATTTTTTGAATGGTTGAGCCAAATTTGACCAACTTTCCATTCCAGAAAGCGTTAAGGTCAACATGTCTTCTTATCCCGCCGCTGCCACCATTGCCTGTGCATGTCATTCTTTGCCACAGAGGTGCCATTTCCTCTGTGTCCATCCTGCATGACTCTAGTTCCTGGTACACTCCAACAGCAGCTATGCATCCATTAACCATTACTAACCAGTCAGGCTAACCTGTCTTCCTCCCCCCACTCTCTGAGCAGAAATGGTGACGGATCCCGTCAGGTTCTTCCCCCACCACCTGGCTGAGGCCATCAGCTGTGTGTCCATCGCTGAAACGACTTAAAAATTCTGCTGCCACTTCGCGGCTGATTCCCCAAGGATTCCTCTCTCTCTCCCCACGGACTCTATCTGTGATTTGATTATTTTTTACCCTCCTCCCACACCCCAGGCAGAACACTTCCGCTAAGGAATGGACTTTCCCTCAATCATTGCGTGCCCAAGGCACCTTGGTAATAATCTACACAGCGCATCTTGGCGGAAGCAGATCTTCTACTCTGGATTCAGGGATTCACAGTGGTTTTGACCGAGGGGACAGGATCCTGAATCCAAAATGTGTTTTAGATGGAGGATTCTGAAGAGGGGGTTGCCTCAAGATCACACCACACCACTTGCAGTTGCCTTATGTGTTTATTTTGTTTCTACATTGCCCTTCTACATAATGCGTTTGTGCTGGTAGTTGGACCTGGACGTGTATCTTTTATACCAGATCTGAGAACGCTCTCAGATTATTGAAATTATTACTTGGTACTTGTGCTTGGCGTACCATTTGCCCATCTGTGTTACCACTGCTTTGACACACAACTTAGCAGAAGGCACTGCCATACCATCTCAGGATATTTCCTTCCTTGGACGTTAATATCCAGCACGTAGTTGATGTTCACAAGCCAGTGTGTAGTTGATGCCGAGTCCACAAGCATATCCACAATCCACTGTGATGACACTTTATGGGCTCCAGTGCACGGCCTTCAAAGCCCAGTTTGCATGCATGGCGGGCTGAACTTTGTTCAGTCCTATGGGAAATGACCGGTGTCCTGACTGTACTTAGAACTGCATCTATTTGTCTCCCAATCACATGCTGATGGATCTTAGCCACAATGGACACAGAGTTGAAAGCCAAGCCTAATAGTGTAGTAGGCGTGCATTGTCCACCGCACTGCACATCACTCTATCCTATACAGCAAGAAGAGTGCACAAGTGGACCAATTGCGTGGACATTTCCAATATGGACGATCCAAAAAGTCACAATTTTGTGAGGATTTGTGTACTTCTTGACCCAAAAATGGAACTTTGCCCCAAATGAAATGGCGTTTGTGCTAACATGGACATTTACGATGCTGGGACAATATAATCACCCTTTGCAGACATCTGGTATGTGTTATCGTAAAGGCCACACCCTTACACCTACATTGTTTCCATTTTGTGGGCTGTCGTTTTAGAAATTTGAGGTGAAAATGGCACAATACTTCCTGATGTACGTTTTTATTTTGTGGAAGTGTACTATTCTAAAATGCAAGCTGCCAAAAAAATCAGAGCATACCAAGCTAATGAAATGGTCATGTAATAGATAGAAAATACAAAAGCAATACGAGCCGTTCCAAGAGATAAGACTCTAATATCCATGAAATCAGGCCAGACATTGAAAACTCAAGAGGATTTGAAAAAAATAGTCCTCGACTTGCACCACTAGTCAACTGACAAACCAAATAATTGGTCATGCTCTTATGTCCGCTCATAATCCAACTCTGAGACATAAAAAGGCCAAATTTCACTTACTCCAACCAGGAATTATTGCAAGTCACCAGAGATGAAGTGTCACTGAATGGGAAAGTACGATCATCTTTTCACACAGTAACTGCAGATGCCATGTAAATTCTGCAGCTATTCTGTTGAAAGCCAATGTGAAATATTACTTTGCAAGTAAATGGTCATCAAGTACGTAGTCACGAGCAAGATCCGTTTTTCTTTCAATGCCTGATGGGTTTTTCTCATAATTCAAATTTAAGCCGCAGCTTGTCTGAAACTTTACCCCATTTCTCAAACGGTTTGGAAAGAACATCCCTCAAAGGTCTTTAAAAGATTCTGGGAAATGTAATGCATTCACAGTGAGGCCAAAAATGACGGGTATGCAAAATGCTCAATTTGATAGAACATTCTTAACCACTTCCTGCTGGTTGGAGTTTAGCGGCATGCATCACCCGCTGCCGGGCACTATTTCATTTTTTTATGTTTTCAAAATTCTTCAGACATTCTTATGTTCATTTATGGATGGGTACACCCAAACAAATCACAGTCTTGTGGCATGTCTTATCTGACAGGCAACCTCCATTGACGTGTGAGACTTGCAGCCATGCACGCTGCCCGTAAAGAGCCCGTTTTGTGCGGTGTTGCGTGATTTCCTCGTTCTGGAAATTGGCCCAGTGTGTTGCTGGACAGTGGTGTTGTCTGTACATTAGTACAGATACCACGAGCGCTTTTGTCCCTGCTGATAATCAGCAGGCGCTGCCAGCGGCAAACAATAGTACTGTTTCAAAACAATGACAGATTACATGTACCTCCGCTAAAAATGGCCAGCACTCTGCAGACAGCATATAAACCTTGATTGGCAAGTCCTAACAGCTGACTGGCAGCAAGTAAACTTTTTCTAAAAAGCCGGGCGACTTTATATTTTTTCATAAATAAAGTTTCGATTCCGGGCACCCCGGCCAGGCATATACAGCCAAGGTCTCCAGAACTGGGCTCCCCGGCGGGAAGTGGTTAACAAGGTTTCACCAAAGGTGTGGATTATAATGCAGTGACATCTGAGATGTATTATTTCTGGAAGTGCCTCATCACTGCATTCTTGATATTAGCAACTCTTATTTTCGAACAGTGCTAACATGATTTACCTGAATGGAAGAGAACGTCGCTCTGCCAACAGAACACACAACAGTTTTCTCTGACTGTCAGTAGTTTTGATTTTGATGTCGGGAGCATTGCAATCGTGATATTTGAATTTTGTTGCTTTTTGGAAACTTCTTATTGCAAGCTCGTAAATTGTTTTTTTTTTCCTTGCAAAGTAGTAGACACCATCTTATTTTAAATAACTCCCTTATTTCATGCTGGTAACTTTTTTTTTTACCTTGTACAGTAGTAGACGCCGCCGAGAGGGTTACCTGGATAGTAGGCCCAGCAGGGGCAGACCCATGCCCAGAGATCGTAAGTTGACTCACTTAAAATAAGGTCATATCACCCTAGACTTGGAAAAGGGGTGGCTACATTTGCTGTGGTAGGGCAAAAAGGTGTGTGCATGTCACCTGTAATATACTGAAGTGGCAAAACAGCACAGCAAAAGTTGTCTAATTTCTATAATTACCCAAAAGAAATTCTGTTTCCTCATTTGGCAGTAGCCAACCACAATGTGAAAAACCAGACTAGACAGCATCATGAGCCATATCATTTCAGGCTGCTGTTCCTTTTTTTGTCAGTCATTTTAGAATATATAGTGGAGATTCAAGTCTGTCGTAAATGTGAAAGGCAAGAGATTAGGTGGGGGCTTGGTGATTACTTATGACGGGGCTGAGAGTATGGTTATGAGTCGGCCTTTCTTTTTTGTGTTCACTCCTTGGCATCATTTGATTCAATCTGAAAAAGTCAATGGTCTTCAGTATCCAGTCAAATAATGACAAATTACCATCTTTTTTTCTACAGCCTACTTTATGGACAGAAAGCGCCCAAGGTGAGCATAGTGTCAGGATACCACTCCAAAATGAATATGAAATGCCTGGTCCTCCTGCGAAGAAGGCAAATGGCTCAATTCATATTGGCACAAATACTTATTGTGGACAGTTCTACAGAGTGTACAGTATTGCACACTAATGCATAGGGTAAGACTGCTGACCTCTGAAAGGGTAAGGGTTTTTGGATTCACAGAGCAGCGAGGGGATTATGGGTAGACAAAGGCATCATTATGTCCATAATGACCATCCACCATTTACACCATCTTCTGCAGACCTGTTTAGAAACTGGTATGTGATCTTAAGGGAATAAGTATATACTTGGCTGGTATTAATTGTTCATTTAAGACCAGCTCAGGAGAATGGATGCAACCTCAGGTGAGGGCATTATCAGCGTTCATTCTCCTCCGGTCTTAAACATTACCGGCCTAGCACTTATTTATTCCCATTCTGAAATACCTTTTTTAGAGTCAAAAGAGGTCATTATGTGACAGATTTCCAACGATTTTGTTGTAGAATTTTACTTTCATTTTCCCAAACACTGCCGTCCATTTTATTTTGTAGTTGTCCAAAAGAATCTCCTTATATGGACTTGGCGCGCGTGTGTCGAGCCGCGTGAACGCAGACTCTTGACCAATCAGAACCAATTAAACCGTCTCGTATCCAGGCACCAGTGTGTGATTTATGCAGTGGGCATTATCGCTTTTTAGCGGCATCGTCAAATGTTAATACAGGGTCAAGTTGTTGAATAGGGAGGCTTTCTGAGGTGTTTATGATTAGACGCAAAATGCAGACTTCATTGGGAGTATGGAGCTATGGAAAATATAAGCTCTGTGGAGATGTGAATCGCCTGACACCGTTTCTTCCTTTGTTCTAGGACACACTACTCAGACGTCCCAAGAGATGTGGTCATGAATGGAGTAAGTTTCTTCAGGATTCTTTGTGTGCTTCCTTACTTGGAAAAGAAGTGTTTCCAGCCATTTGTATTTCACATTAAACCCTGGCCAAGTTGGCTAGCTATTGTAGGTAGCGCAAAGTCTCTCGGATGGCACACTATTACATGTACACTGTGTTGAATTTTATCCCCTGTAGTGGATCCACACCCCCCCCTTGGATCCATGGTGTTTCCCTAGGAGAGTAAAGTAAGGTCATGTTCCATATCAAAGCAGTTTTATGCCCAATACAGGATGCTGGAAAGGGCAAAAGCCTTTCCTAAAATTTTGTGACGGAAATACACCATGGCAGCATATGTGTATTGTGTGTAACTTGCTGTCATAATCCACACAAGTACCTCCAGTGCGTACATTTCGCCAGCACTCGGCGGTGTTGCCCAGAGTTACTGTGCAGCTGAACTACGTTAATAGGCATCCTTAAACAGTTGCCCTCCCTATCCAGTCAAACTCACAGCAGGTTACCCAGCTGTTTGATGAGTAATCCTCAGGTCCAACAAGCCTTTTAACCCTAACACTCCTCAGTCCTCCAACAGGTGAAGGATTGAGGAGGGTTAGGGTTAATGCAGCCACATTGAACCGTTTAATTGATTTTTTTTTATTTGATATTTCTTCTTTTTCTTTCCTTTGGCCTTCAGTCCTATTCAGATTACATGCGAGAGTACAGTCGGCAAGTCCCTCCAATGCCCATGCAACAATTCCACCACCAGCCACCGGTAAGGCTTATCATAGCTGCTCACAAAACCTGTGCAGCCTGTTTGCTGTTTATTTTAGAGCTGAATACTGAGGCAGGGTAGCATGTTCTTAAATATTAAGGATAGCATGGCCTATCCTATTGGTCAGTTACCCGTACTGTGGGTGCTTTGAATCACTGGGAAATGCTGCGTCATTGCACTCTTTGTCATACGGAGCAGTATGTATTGCACAAGCGTCAGTTTAATTGTTTAAAGTTCAAGGCACCTGCCGCTGACGTGGTCAGGAGGGATGTGTACAAACGATGAAGTGAAATGAAAGAACAGACTCCCTGAAAATTGGTCAGTTCTTGATTCCTTTTAGCATTTTGACCAGAACGGTGCTTTAAGTCGGAAGAGTAGTGAGCTGAGAAGATTTCAAACCCAGTCTTTTTAAACTGGCTAGGGGTCTTGTTACCATAACAGCCCTTGCCTTCAAGCTTTGAGCTCTTACCAGTTACCAGACTGGTCAGTTGTGAACCAAGGAATTAAAGTTGCTCTACACACCATCCCTTTTCAGATGATATGAATCAATAAGTTGCAAGCACATATGTATATATTATGCAGCTACACCTGCAGTTGAGTGACGTGTATTCCTCAATATAGTCTTAAGTTTTTACAAGTGATCAAGCTTGTAAATGTTGCAAGGGAAATTTACTTGTGCTGACAACTCTGAGGTATTTGCCTTTTAATTCAATAGTGGAGCTTGTTCAGCAGTGGGAACATTCAGTGTCAGTTCATGCTCAGTTTGGTTCTTCAGAAAGTGTCTTGCCTATGCAGCCAAGTTTTAAAGCCCATCGATTGGCCTTGATTTTTGTGTATGAAATCAGAATTGTAGCATAGATCAATTAGAAAGTGCACAACAAAATGACGTTGGACCTAGACTTATGAAAAGGAATATTCTTCCCATTTCTTCATTTGTTCCACATGTTACTTTTATGGTGTTGGCAACAATGTTAACATTTTAAGTGATGATTTTTTTAAAATATGGCTTCCAAGTGTAAAATGAGATGCAATACATGGATCTCAGTAGAGTTTGTGCATGTTGGCATGCGAATGTACTTGTACACCAATACAGGTCAATTGTAACATCAAATATCATTCCAGTCTGTGAGAGTGTGGTGAAAAATCATGTTGCATTGTCAGGGTATGACCCAGTAGGAGGTTTGCCTTGTTTATCCCTTTGCTTTTGGCAGAGTCAGATGTTGCTTCTCTTTTTACAAGGTGTAGAACAGTTTCAAATGCATTGCTGTTCCTGGCATCAAAGTTGCAGTCTCTTTTAAAACAAAGCCACATCCTGGGATCTTTCCCATTACAGATGTATCCGGTGGACAATTTCTCCCCTCATTACCCACCCCCGCCCCACCACCACCACCACCACAGCCGCATGCCGCCGCCACCGGGGGCCATGCCCCACCCCCGGGGCAGCATGGGGGACTACCCGACACCCCTGATGCCCCCCTCGGCCCGCGGCGGCCGGGACCGGGAACGCGAGCGGGAGCGCGAGCGGGAACAGATGCGGCAGCGGATGCGAGAACGGGAGCGAGAGAAGGAGCGGCTGAGGGAGAGGGACCGGGAACGCGACCGGGGGCGGGACCGGGGCAGGGACCGGGGACGTGACAGGGACAGGATCAAAGTGCGCGAGAGAAGAATGGTAGGTGAACCTGTGGGTGAAAAATTCTAAATACTAGGCTCTTCAAATGTTCAGGCTTTTTACCTGATTTGGTATGTTTTGGACTTTCATTGGCAGGACATGTTGTTAATCACACTGAGAGAAGCATGGTCCTTATATCCTTGAGCAGGACAGTGAACATCAATTAGTCCTGTATCTTGAAGTCAATTGGTTCTTCCTTACTCAGTGATGGTGATTTTGTAACCATGTAACCTTAATTAACATGATGGTTTGAGAGAGCAAAACTTCACTCCACTCTCGGGAAGAGTCTAGCATTGGGTAAAAATATGCATGAAAATGATCGTAACTTTGAAAATGATTACTTTGTTATTCAGCACTCTTGTTTTTTCCTTTTCCAGGCTGATATGCCACGCTCTCATGCCGCTGCTGTGGATGAGTTCATCCGGCGCACCTCAGCGTCTGCCCGCCCAAGCCACTCCAGCCGAAGCCGCAGTGGACGTCACTGACCAACAGATTGACCCGCTGTGACTACCGTTGGTCCATCCAACTGACCGTCTCCGCGTTCCATTATCTTCTGTGGGTGTTTTAACCTCAAATCTGTACGCTGGATATCAATGTGTTTGACACCTTCATTTCCACTGAATTTGGAGCACACTTACATGTTAATTATATGCAGGACTTAGTTTTACATTTTTGTGGGGAGTGTTTTTTGTCTTTTTTATTTTTAGCACTATGAGTATCATAGGTTTTTCCAGCCAGTTGCAATTGGAGGATCGTTCAGTTTGATGCAAGGCCCAGTGAAGTTCATTTCAAATTTGCTGCTCCTTTAGTGTACATTCGAGAATCAAAGAGGGTCATTCAGTTTTGTTATTTGATCAATCATTTGTTGACGTTGATTCAACTTCAAAAGATCTTTCATCTATTTAACTTCACTGGAAGCCTTGGGAAGAGGTTGATCAAGAATTCTATTCAATCTACCAGGCATACACTTGTAAAAGGTTTCCATTCAAATTTGTTTCTTTGACATGAAATGGAAACACTCTGAAAGCTGAGATTGATCAGAAAAACCCAAAAGTTGTAAGCAACTTTGGGGATCAGATTTGAAGCTGAGGAAGTTGTGTGCACAAGTGTCAGCATTTTTGTAGTAGCTGAAGGTTACTGAACAATTGACTTTTTTTTAAAACTTCTTTGGGGTTCAGTTTGGTTCTGCATTGGGCTCTGTATCAGACTTCCAGAGTTGTAACCACATGGAAATCATTTTCTTGTTTTAAATCCTCAGTTTCAGAAGTGTAGCTGTAGAAAAGTGTAAAATAAAAAAAAAGAGGACTAGGAGGTAGGATGTGTACCTATTTTATTCCATTGTTCATGTTTACGTCATCTTTGAAACCAAACCTGCTACCATGTTCTCGTCTTGGTGAGATGATAGTGTGAGACAACCTCACAGGTTGAACTCTTGATACGAGGTAATCAGATTAGGATTTGTGCTTTAATTCTGATTAGTTGGATTGAGAATGAAAAAAAAGAAAAGCAAAATTTCCAGTATTTGCTGCATCAGCATCATGAAGTACATTCATCCAGTGAGTTCTAGGGACTTGAAATTTGGACCTTTGACGAAATTTTTCTGCATTCTTAGTGATTGTTATTTCGGTCCGGGAAGTTGAAAAAATTGGAAAGTTGAAGCTGCAAGATGTCCACGGTTTATGTCCACCCGTGAATTCGTGTTTACCATGGCAGCTACATGTATGCTGTGATGGAACTTCAAAGAGGTTCATAAGATGTATGTTGGGTACCAACTGCCACATACTGGTAGTCTGTTGTTTTTTGGGGGGGTGGGTATGTTAGCTGGTAACACAGAGTTGAAAAATATGAGTGAAGACTTCACCCCTTTGTTTTTGAAAGCTTCAGTTTTACATTGGAGTACACTTTGGATTGAGGGTGGAAAAAAAATCACACATTTGGATGCCACGTCATCATGCTGCATCATAAAAAGAACCTGTGTAACTAGAAAATAATGACTTATCTAGCAAGAACGTAGAGACAGATGGGGTTCTGTGGGGGTTCCTTAAACAGTGGCACTGGTCCCCACAGGTTGCCAGAGATCAATGCCCGAGGTACGTATCTAGTTTGAAGTGTGAACATTCTTGAGGCTAGCATGTGTAAATAGAAACTGTACAAACTGATACTTGTGAAGTGTACATACTGCCAGGTAAACGTGGAGCCGTTTTTAATTTCTCGGGTGGTATTTTGGTGGGTTTTCATGGTGAAAATCACTGTTGAAGGCGGTGATTTGAGGTGGGATGAACATGTGACAATGCCCACCACCCCCACAATTCAAAAAGAAACCCCCAAAACAGTTTCCCCCCCCCCCAGGGTCCGGATGCCGGTAGTTCCTTACAGTTTTGTGAAGATATTACATCAGGTAGATGATGTCCCACTTCCATCCAATACACCAAAGGGTCCCGACTGACAAGTTTCAATGGATGTCGGTCGACGTGAACTGTACGGTCATATTCTGTACGGTCATATTCAGGGCAATGTGTCATTATTGACAACATGTGCATGTATTTCACGTCGCCAATGGGTCACGGAAGCCATCCAAACGGCTTGCATGCAATCTTAGTAATACAAAACCCTTTTTCAGTATCGGTCTTAAATTCTCACTGAAAACGTATTGTACTATTTATTTCTGACTTTCAGTTCTGTCTTTTTAACAATTGGGACAGCTTCGGTTTTATTTTGGTTGTATCAGTTGTTCAATCTGTATTTAATGCCCAGTAGCCATTGGTCAGTAATGCAAACCGTGAATAAACTGGTTTCAGACAACGTAAGCCAAGCATCACTTTGGTTTCCTTTGTCCAAATCATGTACATGTATTCGTAATCGCACCAAAATGAACTGTGTGACGAACTGTATCAGTCACACAGTTCTCTAAATATGCTACAAGAGGTGGCACCCAAGCAAATTAAACACATTTTTCATTACAAACATTCATTTCAATCTGATACTACTGAGTAGATAGGAATTGAGGATTAAGGCAAGGTATTGCCTGCTGAACACACCACCACCTTGGTGATAACAGTATTTCTTGTTATTTACAGTCAAATGAACTACGCATATCACTTTCCCCAGCAGCACAGCATACATCTCAAGTAGGGATTCTCCCCTTACACCACGAATTCTTGCAATATTGTACATTATTCTGGAAGTCATGGTGCAGCATTAAATAGAATGTACTCTTCATCTACATGTACATATCTACAAGGTGGAAGCATTAAATAAGGGGTGAGATTTACCAGGATTTTTCTTGATATCTGGATTTTTTTTTCCATGAGGATTTTCCTGAATTCAGGCCTTGAAATAATATCTTAAAATCTGGAAAATCCTGAGTTAACCACTGTGGTCTTTTACCTATACAAGTTGATACACCGTAGACCTTACACTGCATGGTCTGGGGCCCTCAAAACCTCTGGTGAATATTCCATTTTCCTCCAATCTCACCCCTGTTTTGTTGGTTCAAACTACCCGTTTTCGTCACTCATCTTTATTGTGGATTGAGTACATCTTAAAATATAGTCGTGATGAACTGTGACTTCTTGTATCTCCATATTTTAAAGACAAACTGTTTAAAGTATTCTCAAGTTCTCCAGTTATAAGAATAATAGTAATCATTTACATTTATATAGCACCCTCTCCATTATTAATTATGTTCCAGTGAAGTACAAGTGAAGTTAATTTTAATGAAAAATGCCACTATTTGAAATGCGCCGCAAACCTGTTGCTATTTGATGTTATTAACACAAGGCATCATCACACAAGTTTCTTGTGAACAATTTACACAAACACCGTTCGGTTAATACCTGAATTTGGTCTGAGTCGCTGCGGTCAGCATTTCCACTGATGGGATCAGAAATACCAACAAAAAGAGTGACAGTACTTCACACAGCTTACTGTCCTCCGTGTTGATTTCCTCAGTGGATTTTCAGTCACGTAAGTTTTACACAGATTTACACAGATGTTCACAGAAACGCGTGCCTTCGAAGTCTCTCAACATTCTGGGGTACATGAAATTGCCAATAGAAACAGGTTTGAAAATGCACGTGCCTCCATGGACATGGTACACTTCCTGTAATGTCCGTGCCCATAGTTACGTCGTATGAAAGTCCTCTACAGTACAAACATGGTTTGCCTACTCAAACATCTTGATGCAGGCAGTCATGATCAAATGTGTACCATCAGTGACTGTTCCATGATGCTCTCTACATCTCTTTATGTCCATATAGAAACGAGACATTAGTGCGGAGTTGATGCAGAATGCTAAAAATGGCGGGTGAGTTGCAGCTTTCAAAAAGTTTTGAGGGAAAACCTGAGGAGCAGCACTGTTGAATAGGATGGAACTGGAAGTCAAGGCCAATGTCTTACAGCCAATATATTTTTGCCAGCATGTTTAAGCTGCTGTCTTTTGATGGAGGTTCTTTTCGTGTACCCAGTTAGAACAGTATTTTTTTCTCTTGTTTCTTTTTTCCTTTCTGTCTATTTCTGATAAAATAATCTTGAAAGCTGTTAACATTCCTCTTGAATTGACACTGCTGTAGGCACTTTGTTGTTAATTGGCAACTCAAGCACCCATCTTGCATCGATTGGGAAATGGGTAGCAAGTAGGCAAACAGGTGGTCAATCAATATATGCTAATCACACAGTTGTCCCGAGTGTTCTTGCCTAGAGCGCACAGGATGTATGGTGTGTGTGTGTCAGAATGCCTCGGGGCGAGTTTCTGGCTTTTAGGAAATGTCGATGAGGAGTCCCTCTGCCGGTTCCTGCGGAGTACTGGTGGTGGCCGGGGCAGTGGTGTTGGCAGGGGGAGGAGGGGCATTCCTCCTGGGCTGAAGGGCAGTCAGCTGGGGTGGGGGCGGTCTTGGTGGCGGAGGTCGGGCCAGTGTAAGTCTTGTTGCTGGTGGTCTGGTAGGTGCAGGAAGTTGCTGTTGCTGCAGGAACTGCTGCTGCTGAGTTTCAGTGGATTGTTGCTGTCAACAAAAAGACATGACACAAAACACAATCGAAGTCGCCAGTAAGTTATCGTCATGTTCCAAGTGTTTTCCTGATGGTTTTTATATTCTAACCACGATTTGAGTCCTCAGCAACTTCTTCGTTATGCACATCAGCATGGATGCAATAATAGGATTGAAACCACAGAGTCATTTCTGTTTTTCTATCAAAATCCAATGTCCGAAGCCGACAGGTATATTTTGTATCACTGACTTTGAGATTTTTGTCAGAGCATAAAGTGCTCTCTTGCTTCACTCAAGCTACTGCCCACATGTTGATTCAAAATGCTTTTGCAAGTTTTCAAACACTTGCAGACATTTATAACCAGTGGGAAAACGATGCTAATGTGACTGGTCCCCATTACTGTTTTGTGGTGACGTGTGACTCATGACAACTTGTGAGGACTCGTAATAACTTCAGATGAATAAGCCTGTTATGAGTTAATAAAATCTGGTACACTGAGTTCTTTAAATTCACATGAACATAACAATTTGAATTCTCCATGCTTAAGACACTGTTGCTATACCTCGTGATTCGGGGCAAGCTTTTGCTTAGTTACATAAGAGACGCTTGGCTCCAGTACACTGTTTTCAATGGATAAGAAGGGCACAAAGGAACCAGTCCATTCCAGAGATAGTGGTTGGTATGCAAAAGCTTGCCCCGAATCACGAGGTATAGCAACAGTGTCTTGTGGCTGGGGAATTCAAATTGTTATGTTTATGCACAATCAGATGGCTCAGTGTAGCAGGTTTTTTTAATATTTACTCACAAAAGGATTGTGATGACCTGTGACAGCTTGTGATGACTGATGATGGTTTCTGATGTGTTGCGATGGTTTGTAATGATGTGATGACTTGTGATGGCAAGTGATGACTTGCAATGACTTCTGATGGTTTTGATGAATCGTTATGACTTTTAATGACTTGTGACTGTTTTTGATGACTTCTGATGGTTTTGATCACTTGTGATGGCTTATGATGGCTTGTGATGGCTTATGATGGCTTGTACTTGTGATGACTTGAGGTGACCTGTGATCACTGTGATGATTTGATTAAAATTCAGTGTCTGGCATAACTGAAACTAAAATGGAATGTGCTTTTTTTTCACAGGGGCCTCACCATGTCTCGTAACCTCTTGACTTTGTTACGAAGCATGATCCAAGTGGCCTTGAGTTGTTCGTAGCTGGCATTGCGTATCGCCAGCACCCACTGGTCACAGGCCTGAGCTGTTGGTGCCAAGAAGAAGTGCTTTCTCTCTCTGTCTTCCTGAAATGCTGGAGTGAAAAAAACAGAGAGGAAAGTCAGTACATGCAGAGGGCTCGGCGACGTCATATCTATGCCTTTGCACTCAGTAGTAAAAATGAAATATACAGTACACTAGCCCTGTCCAAATGTAGGGGCTATGGCTAGTAACAACACGTGTCCCTATGGCAGCCACTCGCTAGTGGCTGCAGTCACTTCCCACTGACAAGTGCGTCACTCTCAGCCATCCGTGCATTGGATTTCTTTGAATTGCAGCAGCACGGTGGGAGTTACAGACATATAATGAGATGTCACTTCTTGTGATCGATCAACTTTTTGTAGTGAAAAAGGAGAGAGACGGCGGCTTTTTCCAGAACAATTCAAATGGGTCTGAACCAATTAAACCCAATATTGCTTTGGCTTTATTTTTTCTGGACGAAATTTTTCAAAAATACCAACACATGTAACAAGTTTCACTGTAATTTGACAATTATCACCAAACCTATTGAAAAGAGGAAGCCTTTCTCTGCGTCCATTTCTCGCTGGACTGTGTAGCGCTCCAAGAGAAGAGCTCCAAGGGGCTTAAAGGAAAATGAGAAATACCAACAACCATGAAATCAACCTCAAATCAAATCGTATCATCTGATAATGAAATAATTATGTCAACTTTCCAATGTGTATCAAGACAGTTTTAAGTAACTTTGAAAAGTCAAATTTATAGATTTTTGTCTATTGCTTGTCTAAGGAACATCAGACGGTGTGTGCCGTTCTGATTTATAAATGCACGTGTATCACTGCCCAATCTCCCAAGCTCTGTTTGGCTGTAAAATACAATTAGCATTTATTTAGCAGAGCCAGACAACCGGTGCCTGGGAAGCTTAATTTCATAAACACTTTTAAATTTGGACATCCAAATGTCTACATGTTTGCAGACAGCCTGAAATTCACGGCTAGACTGAGCAAACACTACAACAACCTGACATTTCTGGTCAGACATACATGGACACTGTGCCCCCCCCCAAAAAAAGCACTCTTGGCTCCTTGATGCTTTTAATTTCATCTTTTTTTCTTGTTCTTTTTATTCTCTGGCGATTCTGAGATATGCCCCAGGAAAAACAATCACTCAAAAGTGAGACTGCACCATTTTTCATGAAAAAAGAGTCAAATAGTTTTTTGGTGAATTTTACTGTACTCATTTACACACTGAGGACTGCATTCACTGTAACGGGTTACACAGACCTGAGACGATCACACATCAAATGAAATAATGTACTTTGTGATGCATATTCTGAATAGATATTTTAAGCACTGATAATGCCTCCTCTAAATATCATAAATGATTCGTCACTTAATTTTGTGTAAGTTTGCAAAATTTGATTTAAGACTTTCATAAAATCTAATCGCGCATTAACTTGAAATGTACAAATGTTTGCACACTTTCCTTAAAATGATACAAAGATAACACATTCCTATTGTGAGAGTGACACTGCATTATACATCATGATGAGTTATGCAACATATCTGCATACCTATCTAATTTCCTTTGAAACCAGATTGCAAAGGTAAAATGTGCATTTGTTATTTCAATAAGGTCCAGTGATCCGATTACAAACTGGCACAAACTCTGTTTTTAACCTCACAAAGTCCGCGAGCACCTGTGCTCACATTTTTACTAGGAATATCTCAGGCCCACCAAAGGCAAATAGGATTAAAATCAAGTGACTGAGAGCCACTTTATTCTGATGCTTAAAATGGACAGTATTTACTTCCAACATCTTTTAGGGGGCAAGTTGTATACCAGGGGAAAAAGGACAAAAGTCAAAGTGGAATTCACCTCTGGCGTTCGCCTGTCCTCTGCTGGCCTGTAGTAAAACAGGAAGTTACCCTGAAGGCGGATCTCTCTTTCTCTGAAGGCTGAAAGTGAAACAAATATAGGTGTGCATAGGTCAAACATAACTCAACTGTATGTGCAATCTGAGAATTCTGTTTTTAGTTTCTAAAGTTTATGTCACCATTCTTTCACACGAAACTACAGTATTTCAAACTCAGCCTGTTGGCTATTTAAAATTTTCTTCACATTTTAAGAAGAGTGAACATAAAATCTCACATTCTTTTACAACTGCTTAATTAATTTAAAACCCCTTTGAACAGGCTGTGGCTTAGATTGAACACTTGGGCCTGTGGGAACTTGGACCACTTCCAGGGAGCTGAGATGGTTTCAGGAATGTTCCAATGATTTGTAAGCCCAATGTGCAGGGATAATGTTAATACAGTGTCTCAGAATAGTTTGCTACTGTAGATAGATGGTGCTTTACAAGTGCTTGTTATGATGATTATTACTATTATTATTAAAACCAGCCTCAATCATATTCTTAGCACACTGTTTCACTGCTTTACATTTCACTTTTTTAGTGATTAATGACACTGACCACCAGCTGTGCACAAATTACAACACAGATCTACATGATGACTGAAATTGGTTTAAAATTGAAAAACAGACTCTATTACATTCAGCACTGCCATCATCTCCCGGCAGATCAAAATCCAAGTGGCTCACTTGAGATAAGCAACAACAAATTGGTTAATTTTGCCTGGTGAAAAACATCAGAAATGTATCTTTTTTGTCAAGGACCCTGGAGAGCCATTCTTAGGCACTGAAGCACTTGGGGTGTTCTCAAGTTGCTGGGCAAGTGGTCCAAGTTGCCACAGGCCCAAGTGCTCAATCTAAGCCGCAGCCTGTCCAAAGGGGTTGCCTTACATCAATTGCAAAGGACTCGGGGAATCACACTTGAAACCTGTGATTGAAGTACCTCCAGACAGGATGACCTTTTTACCAGTGAACAACAAGTTATCGTCAATGTTCAGCTGCCGAATGTAAACCAATATCCTGACCATCAGTTAATCACTTTTGATTTCCAATTTGTAGCTTTCAGGGAATTTTTTACCCTTTTGTTATTTTTTTTCTTCAAAAGGGGAATGGGAGAAGCATGTCAGGCCAGATTCCTTGCACGGTTCCCCAATCATGCAAATACATTTCTGTGTTACAGTGTAAGTGACCAACTACCCTATTCCACACCATTAATACCTACACTAGCCTTAAGACAAGAAATATACACCTTTGCATCATGGCTTAAACTGTGGCACTCAGTATTTAGAAATCAAGCAGGATAGGAAGGGTAGAATTTTCACACTTGTAGGCAGTAGACACATTCAATTGAACCCAAAACATGGTACATGTACAATGAAATGGACAATAAATGTATTTCATCAAACAATCATCATCAAACATCATGGCACATGTAGTCACGGACCTACACCTGTGCTGACAGCGCAGTTCTCTGAAGTGTTCAAAAGATAAGCCTTCAAAATAAATGGAATACAGTGCATCTAAAAAAAAGCACTGCCCCCCCAAACAAACATTTTACATGACTTGATCATGTTTGCCTTATCATTAGTGTTTCTACAATGCTAAAATTGGAATGAAGGGTGTCAGCATGATATATCGCCATAAATTTGGTTACAATGACAGGTTGTACCATATGCTGTGGGAAAGTGGGTGGAATTGAGGGAAGAACGCAGTATGAATTAGTAGTTAATCATTTACAAATTTAACCAATTTTGAGTTAGTCTTGAACCTGGGCCCACAATATCTTCATGGAAACCAGAACCTGAACCACGAGGCCGCAAACTTTTTTGGTCGATGCTTATACTGTATTGGTCCAATGCCAGCTTTTAAAAGGTACTAAGTGCCAACCAGATGTTGGCAAAGCATACGCTTCATTCTCTTAAAGACAAGTAACGTTACAGTCTGAGAACCAATCCCTAAACAAAGATGGATTCATCAGTCATGATGCTCGTTCCATTTTCCATCCTCCGTGCTAGTTCAAATATTACAAGAGGTGATTCATACGGTCCTGGTTACTCAGACTAATGTCCATGATGGTACAGTCGTCGGGTCCCTAATTTCGCCACCTATTGTAAAGTCTGATTAGTTTTCACAGTGAGTAGGCCTTAGTGGCGACATAAGGGACCTGTGCTGGAAACTACACCATTATCACGTCAACCCTAATATGCCCAAGGCTTTCTATTAGAAACCAAGATCAACGAGAACATCCTTGGCCCACGAGTGCCTTACCCTGGCCCTGTAATTCACGGACAGTTCGTAGTTTGCCCTGCTGTATCCCTTTGTACAATAGCCGCCCTTGCATGGTAGCTTCCGTCGCGGCCGAACAAGCCATGCGATACAGTTCTTGTTCAGAATATCTCATCTTGCTAGCCGATCTTTAGCCAACTATCAGCTGGAAAACCCTGCAATTTCATTCCACATGCCTGTATGAGCATTAAATGAAGACTATTTCACCAGAGGCACGTGGTTAAGCGTGACAAAAGTTCCACATACTGGAGGGAAATTCCCAATTAAAGCTTCACAACCGTTTAAATTCCCTTTGCCAAGGGGATTGTATTATTGTGGAGCGATAGGGTACACCCCTAAACTTTGACCTACAGTCTTACACAGTACACAACGCCCTCTATTGACAAAAACAAACTCGGACCATTTCTTTTAGTCACTTTTGACCATTGAAATGCAGGTTTTTGTGACATTGTCAGTTGAACTTGGGGGGGGGGGTAATAAAGCCTGCAAACAGCCATCAAAAAGTTATCTTGCTGATCATCCCGATCCCGTATTATATCAACTGGCTCAGGGGCTGACAGATTATCAGTAAAGGCCGCGCCCTAAGCGAAGCTTCTAAGACTTACCCTTAAAATGAGACAGCCCCGCCATCCTACGTACTATGTATTACTGTATGGCAAAATTTCTTGGAAGGTATTTTTCACTAATTTTCAAAAAACGTTTTTTAAAATTTGGCTTTGTCACTCTTGCAAAATACCAACTTTTTTGAGTAAAAATACGTTTCCAAACCAGGATCACTGAGTGGATTGTTGTGATGAGGTCCAAAATGTTTCGTTCGATGCCACGATTTGACGGTGCTTTTGTCTTAACATGGGCACGAAAAAGTCAATCATAAACCTTCTTCAGCACATTCAGACGTTGAGGGCGGCATACAGAGGCCTCTTGAGGGCTTTTTGTTTTCTTAATGACACATTGTTCTGGGGATATACTATGTACTTTCCAATGAAAAATGATTTTGCTGCCAGTCTTCAGAGGACACTAGACGCCTCGTGCATGGGAGCATCCCCTCTTGCAAGTTCAGCATGTCAGATTTCATTAAAATAAAATTATTGTTTATTGTAAGACTTTTTATTGCGTTGGGAAATTTATGTCATACTATATATAGTAAGCTGATGTGTTCAGTGATAATGCTCGCTTTATTCTTCCACAATTAGTTAGGATGAAGATGGCAACACTGAAGTAGCTCCTGGACAAAAATGCTATTAAAATAGGAATTGGGCACAGATGTTGACTGCATTTTGTCTTAAGTAGGTACGCCACATTTCTTATGTAGCAAAACAGATGTTGAAGCACACTTCATCTAAATGAATATTTTAGAAATAAATAGTGGCTTTTCAAATCCATTTCAAAAGACCAGAGGCACTACCCCGGTATCCCTCTTGAAACATATTTTTGTTCTACGCAAGTAGAGAGCAGGACAAAACTAAATTGAATCTTTCACTGCAATCTTTTTCAGTAATCCTTCGTATTGAAATCCACGTCATCCATAAAAGAAAAATCCCTAAATTAACTAAAGGAAGATATTTCAAAAGTTAAGATTAAAAGGATTTTGAACATGTCCCTATGGCAGGAAATAGTCCACTTGCTAGAATTAGCGAGAAATTGTTTTCAGAAATTTGGGCAAACGATCAGTAAGGGTTGGCTGCAGGATTGGCAAATGCGTCAGCCTTGTGGGACCAGCAACCCCTACTCAATATTTTTTATAACAGCAATAACCCTACGAATTCATCAATAGACATAGTGAAGCCTTCCGGTTTTGCTAAATAAGGGGGCACAACAAAAATTCCATTCCCGCTAAATTTTGGTCCAGTGGAAAAAAGTACTTATTTTTGTCAGAAATTTATTAATTTTCTCATGGTATTTTCCATGCATGCATCTGTCTAAACTCAGGGCAATATGAAAACCGTTTTGTTTACTGTGGCAAGATTCCTCGGCGCTGCACTGTACACATCCCTGTACAGTCGCTGTGCGGATGTGTTTTAATTAACTGATTAATTGAAACTGTTCTGATAGTGGCTGAATAAACGCTCTGGCATGTTTCATAATGCTGTGCATTGCGTGGGCTATCATTGTCTCTGGCGTCGCGTTTCTGTAGAGTCGTCTTTACGTTAATTTAATGTACATATTCAGTCCCGACCAATTAATTCTACAGCGACAAAACATTTCTGTTGTTCATTACACACGTCCATCGTGGGAGAACAGAGTGCGTTTTGAAGATCAAATAGGGAATTGTTCGTAAATTGTTAATAATAGGCCGTTCGACAATTTTTTAAAAAAAATTTTAATTCATTTTTAACAACATTCGTTTCCATCATTGCCAATTATGTAAATTTATTGTTGTTTTTTCGACAAGATGGCGCCGAAATCATCGTTATACATGGATAATTAATATATATTGATGGTTTATGAAAAGACTTCAAAATCGCATAATTAGCCTCTGTTCATAGGGAATGCGGTATTAAAGTGGACAATCTGAGCCCGACTTTTTTTCTCTATTTTTAGCATTTATATATGCCCAGGTTATCTTTCCTTCCACTAAAATCCACAGCGATTGAATGAAGTAATAAAGTGAACATTCTTGTTAAAAAACCAATCAGTCTTTTCTCTCCGCACCGCCCCATAATAGGCCTACGTGCTTGAAGAGAAGAGTAAAAGATATAATGTTATGCCTATTAGCATCCAGATCCTGCCTCGTCAGGTACAGCATGCTGATGTTCCTTTTATCATAGATCTCAAAGATGGCATTCATTAATTTTACACTCAGGTTAGATTAATACTAAATAATAGAGCACCCCGGCAATTCCAAACGACGGGGGCTGAAAGTTATGGTGTGTTTACCAGAACTGCACTGTGGTTAAAAAAGGGCAGCCGTTCAGCGAGCAAAAAAAATGTAATGTTCCATCCAATGTAAAAAAAAAATGCAAGGTGTGGAAAATGGGCAAATGGCGATTTCATCGGTGGAGGGATAGGGTTGTTGACATGCATAGAAGAGTCTTATGTTTGGATGTACAAGGGAGTCCTGCTGCAGAAAGATGCACAAAATGAGGGAATCGACAGGAGCTTTGAACCCCTCATTTCAATCCCCACACTTTTGGGGGTTTTTAATTGTAGATGGGTAAATTTGTAGAGACCAGTGGACATCTAACCCTCTTTGGCCCTTTTTCTCAAGCTCTCATTTTGTCAACGTGTAGGGCAAAGGAATACCAGCAGTGACGTCATCATCAGAACGGCTCTTGGAGATGGCAGGCGCCCGGATTTTGCACCCAGAGGATGCAATGTTGGAAAATAAACCAGTGAAGCCCTCCTTTCGCACATCCCTGGCACGGCAGGCGCGTCAATTGCCGTCTCCGAGAGGCCGAAATTGAGGTAGGCTGTACTTTTCTTAGTGGGAAGACGCTTGTAGGTCTTTTATTCATGGATTCGGTCGTCTCGCCTCTTCATCACGTTCAACACCGTTAGTCTCGGCAATGCCAAGATCACCCCCACAGTTACATACCACTGTCACGCATCATTACCGCATCATTAAACGGCTATCCGAAAAAGGGACCCGTCGTTGTGATGGGGGCGCCCTCCTAATACCCTTGGTCGGAGTCTGCATATTGCAGACCAGTCAATAAGCTACCATGGATAACAATGATAAATACTCCCACTTTCAAACATCAGGAAAATACTCACAGGTCTCTCGGCTGTTCAAGACACAAATCAAATAAAAGCTCATTTCATCATATTTGAGTTTCCTTTCAATTTTTGGTGGCTTTATAACCATCACCACTTTGCAAGTTTATACCTACGTTCCATTGCAAAATAGGGCATTTGGGGCCCCTGTTTTGTCCATTATTTTAAGAAATTGGTTTGTATTTTTTCAATATTCTTTTTACAAACTAGCCACTGTGCGCGCCATTAAAATGCTCCCATAGGATTTATACAAATCGTGATTCGGTCCGCGCAGGTGATTTGGGGCCTATTTACCAACCTGCACGGCCTCCAACTTGCAACCGTCTGACCTCTGCAGACGCACTATGCGGAAGTGTGATCGTTCCCTGGCAAATGGAGTGCGTTTGAATTTCCCCTCCTCCAAAGGATTTTGATCATACCGACCCCCTACAACTATACCCAAGTCTTTCTTCCTTGTAAAAAGCCGTTCCCCCTGCTGTCGTCCAGGCCTCGCCATCTCACGTCGACCCCCCCTTCAAATTACCAAAAACTGAAGCTGGTTCTCATTCTGCAAGTATCCGCATACCTGCAGGTAACATAAACAACCCCTGCAATAAAACCTGGTCTCACTGCCTCAGCACTCCGCCTTCAAAGGGAATCTTTGCCGCTTCAGAGAAGTCAATGGAGAAATTCGAATTGAAAAGATCGTCACCCCATGGGGAAAACTCCCTACATTAATTAAATGGAAGAGGGCCTAAATGCTGAACGTCTGTGTCATCGTAGCTTGTTATTTCAACCTCAGTGACTTTATGGTAATTATGAGTTATGCTCCTATTCCTTGTTAATTAGGACGCACATAGCCCGTCCTCAATATACCTCCATTAAAGATGCCAGCACGTCCATTTTGCATTCAGTAGTGACGATGGTCTTGGGCACCCCCCCCCGTGTTTAGCTTTTGGGCATTTCCCTGGCTGCTTCACGTCAAAGCTCAGATTTTCGCCACTCAATTGTTTCTCGCAAAAACAAAGCTAGTAAAAAGCACGACACAAACAAAACAAACAAGCACATACACACCAATATGAGACTTCGAGCTTGCCCATTTCGAAATATCTGTGTTGATACTGCTAGTCCAAAACTATATTCATCACTGAATTATTCATTTCTTCCTTGTTGTAAAGCGATATTTTCCTGAGTTTTGTTTGAAAAGACAGAATCCTTTCAGGCTGTTGTTCCTACTCATTACACGTTCAACAAACCGTGAGAGCTCAGATCATTTGATACGCCCATAGCTCCTTTCCTCCCCCCACATTATGAACCACAAAGACCGTGGAAGGTCACCAGACCGGTGCAGTGGATGCCAGACGAGAGGGTTGGTTGCAAGGCGAGATCGCTCGGTGACTACAAACCCCAAGAATCACTCAGCGCATACTCCTGATCCACTCTCTCGCCGCGTCACTGTAGTCATTCGCAGTGACGAGTCGGTGGAAGCAACAGAGCAGAGCGTTCGCCACAAAATCGTTCAGACGAGGGAAAGCAAGCCGAGAGGAGAGGGCAAATTTGAAAATCACTAATCGCAGCTCCTCACAATCTTCGAGCATAGTGGATGTAATCACTGGGAATTGTCAGGCTGCACAATGGGAGTAGTGTCATTGATGTCACCCACCGGAATGCTCCCCAGCGCGCGGTGAAAATTTACACTCTCGTGGTGGAAAAATCTGCCTTTTGTTGTTGGCAATTCGCCTGGTGGTGTGTTGTGAGGCATTAGTGTCGATGCATCACACCTGAAATCAGCTTACCATTCGTGTAACACAAACAGGGAACAATACGACATCGATCGCAAGGAAAGAGCAGCAGAGGTCAGGAATATAAAACCGAGTTGAGCTGGAAGTAATTCTGAGTTGATCTGGTGAAGGAGGAGAGAGTAGTATTCCAGCTAGCACTTGAGGGTCGCCTTCAATTGAAACCTCGTTACCTTCCAGAAGACGCAGTCAGCTTTGACGTGCGCCTTTTCATTTGTTGGTTTCTGTACGCAGCTTGAACCTCGACACCAAAGGGTTTTTTTACGGTTGTCGTGGTATTTTGTGAACCTGTGCCGTATGTATGCAGTTAGCCACGAAGGGTCATGGTTCCACCGGAGAGGGGCAGTCTCCTTATTTCGCTACTGATTCTGGTGAGTTATTTTCTAGGGCTTGCTGCAGCGGTTGCGGGGTGTAGGACGCGTCGCGTGCGGTCGTCAAGAATGATTGATGATCGCGAAAGGTGGCGAAGTCAGAGCTGGTCCATTTCCCCGCTAAAGTGTTGTCGTGGTTAATTGGTGTTGTGGGATTTTTTTTTTTGCTCTATGTAGAATAGATGTGTTCTGAAGTGTTTTATCTAATTATGCTTTGGATGCAAATGGATGATGTCACAGAAGTTGAAAGAGCAATAAAACGGAGGGAGGGGGTGTTTCTTTATCCAGAAAGTAGCTTCGAACGTAGGAATAGTCACCCACCCTAGCAAGCACATGGAACCCGCTCTCTAATGTGGCATAAAACTAAAAGATCAAGATTTTGAAGCCTGGCAGTGAGAAATACACGTTCAGCACGCGAAGCCCAAGGACTCGGGACGCGGCTATTAAATCAAAAAAGCGGCCCAGGCTGAAATGTCTCGGTCAAGGCTGACATGTCTCCCGTCTCCCCTGCTTCTTTGGAGTCCTGCACCTGTGTTCAGAAACTGTTAACGATCTCCAGACACCTGCGGCCCTGACTTCGTCAATTATTGCCTCCTCTGTCTCTTCCGAACAGGTGTCGTTCAGCCGTGTGCGGGCGTGGCATGAATTAGACAACTCCCCGTTTCACTGTTGGCCCCTCATTAACCCGGATGAGAAGAACTATCTGCATGATTGTCACGGTAAGGACCCCTTAGTGAGTCATCGGATGCATTCTCTGTAATTTTTAATTAATTGTCAATGTCATTTTAGGGCATTTTTTGCAATGATCAATGCGATTTACGGCTGCCGTTACACAAATGTTTAAAGTTAATGAAATCGATAGAAATTAACAAGTCATAAAAATACTCTCATCGTGTATATAATGTAAAATTTAAAGATAAATTGCTACAAAAATTGAGTCAGTTGCCGAGTTTGGTTGTACATGTAACTTCCGTGAGACGGAATGCGCTGATGAAATGTTGTACTTCATTTCCTTCCAAATATTTGCTATCCCAACGCACGATTTTAGCCTGCTGTTTAACAACAAATAGGAAGAATGTGGTTTCGAGCCATGGATTATTATAACCTTTGTTTGCACAACCTTAGCGAAGATATGGAAATTATGCCCGACCCACAATCACGCACTGCATTGCCTTTTAGATTTGATTAGTATTGCCAGAATTCCCAACATTCAAAAGACGGCACACCTTGCCTTAGAAAAGAACCATTATGTTTTTTCAAATGTAAATAAACTCCTTGGACACGTCTTACCACTGGAAATATCAGGTGAAATGAAACGAGGAAATGAAACTGCTTTCTCCTCGTCCGTTCGAGACAATGGATGTCATAACTGTTCGCTCATTACCTATGTGCACATTTCCTGACAGAAAAACAACCTGGATGACCTTGGAGTAGGACGCGTAGGGCCTACAGTACTTTGCCATGGATTTTCTCCATTTTGCGAACATAAGAAGTAACAGCGCCTTTTCAGAGATCCATGCATTGCAAGTTCCTCTTCCCAGAAACCCTCGATTACAGCAAAACTTACAGAACTTAGGGTGTGTGTTTGATAGACAGACAGTGTAGTGGAGGTAATAAAGTGGCGGGACTGGTTTATATTTTGGAAAAATAGAATCGGCCTTCAACATTGAATTAATCAATGGCATGCTCCCAGAAAGCATATACATGTACATGTGCGTCGAGTGTTTTCCGGCGGCTTTTTTGATGCGCTCGGCTTGTTTTGATGCACTGTCTCTCTCCGCTGTAATACCACATGGCGTTTGTGTGCACTCTCTTAAATTGACACTGAACAAATATCATAGTTTTAATGGACAAGTTCGAAGAGTGCAGTGCATGTAAACTCCTTGAACTTCGAATGCCGAGAGGTTGGAGCACATCTGAAGCTTCGGGAGCGAACGTTGACATTTCTTTGCTGTCGGAGGTTTTTCGAAAATGATGGGGCGTCGCAGTGTGAGACGCCGGTGCGAGACTGCGGAACACTTCCCGTTACTGTGCCTGTTTACAGAGCCATGCCCGCTCCAGTCGCCCGTAATCCCCCGAAAAAACAATAAATTTTTTCCTTGAGGATATTTTGTCAGTAAAGGAGACGATGTTCTTTCCAACCCTCCCGCGCCCTCAGTACACATGACGGAATGTTGGTATACAACTTTTATGGGATCTTCAGGATTTTTTTACGACGGCGGTTTACAAACTGTGGTGGGTGTTTGTTTACTTTAGCAGATAGCGTCACTTTATTAAAACCGCGAAACCCGAATACCTCCAGCTGTCAGAGGTTTATTTAAACTGTTAAAGTGGCTTACATACCGGTATATATCTGGAAGGGCAAGTTAAGTCTACTTTCTTCTCACGATTCAAAAGAAATACTAAACTAACTGAAACAATTATAATAAAACTGGATAAAACTCCATGAGTATCCAGCGAGGAGATATGTTGCACATTTTTTAGAGGACTTTGAAAGCGCCAGCAGTTTAGAAACGCAGTAAGTAGCTCCTCCCATT